TATATATCTCCTGTGGGTATATATCTCCTGTGGGTATATATCTCCTGTGGGTATATATCTCCTGTGGGTATATATCTCATGTGGGTATATATCTTCTGTGGATATATATCTACTGTTGGGATATATCTCATGTGGGTATATATCTCCTGTGGGTATATATCTCCTGCGGGTATATATCTCCTATGGATATATATCTCCTGTGGATATATATCTCCTGCGGGTATATATCTCCTATGGATATATATCTCCCATGAATATATATCTCCTGTGGGTATATATATCTCTTATGGAAAAAACTATGATGAGTCAAATCCCAGAAAAATAACGGATTCACTGACTTTGTAAATTAACATTTATTTTGTTTAACCAAATAATTAATAAAAGATATCTTTGCAACCCGAGACCTTACATTGTGTAAACACATAGAGAATAGAATATATATTAGAGGGGAATTTACTAGTAAAAAGTGTAAAACGGCCATTTTGTTGTACTGTTTCCATACTGCAGGTGTACTTCACATATTTATGCTGTATAACCTTTTGGGCCCTGGAACATCATTTTATAGAAAATCTAAAATTTTTGTTAAAAGAAAACCAAATTTTGAAATAGGCTGGTTTCATAATTGACCAATGATCATTTCACATAGACTCTTTGCCTTCCACTTTATAAACGATGATTTCCCGTTATAACTATAAATCAAATGATGTTTTTTATTCACATACTGTATTAATGTACTCTACTGCATATAATTTGTGAACATTTACATCATTTATACACTTTGAACTCCCTTTCAGGCTGAAAGGTACTGAAAAAATTCATACCGAGAGATTCTTTAAATTCACCTCTAATATATATTCTATTCTCTATGTTTAAACACTATCCTTCAGAACTTATAATTGCAAATATCATCATTTACAGCATCAGCTGTGGCAAAGATAAAAAAGGAAAAATAATGTAAAAGGCGAGTTATCGTTGTCTTAGATAAAACAAAGGGATCTTCGAATATTCTGCACAGAGAAGAGAAAATGATATATAAATAAAATTATTAAAAAGTGTTACCTCGCCATTTTATTTTGTGCCGTTATCATACTGCAAGCGTTATACTTTACGCATAAAATGTACAGTTTGAACTTCTTTTCATGCTCAAAGGGACTAACGAAATATATAACGGGAGAGTCACAAATGTCAGCTCTATTAATTCTCTCCTCTGTGATAGTTTGTTTTTAAATTGTAATTCTGTGAAATATAATTCTATAAAATATTTCTAAGGCTGTGTGTGTTCAGTTATTCAAATTCCTAGACTTGGGCTCTATTTTTGGAATCTAAAAATGGTGGGATTTGTAAGAATTCAAATATTTTTTTAAGAATTCAGTTACAAAAACCTTTCTCCGGTTACAAAGCTTAGCATATAATGCCTGAGAACGTAGGCATGAAGTGTTAATAAGTAAAAGTTTAAACAGCATCAAACCAAAGACAATTTATTTTTGATAAGTTGTTTTTAGTCTATAGAAATCCAATAAATCAAGAAAAAACGCAAGGAAAAATTCAAAATTTCCAAAAATGTTGTGTCTGAAGTAAACAACAAGTTACCATGGCTACGGGTCATGGTTCAGAGTTAGAGGGAAGAAGGAGGAACATTAATTCTGTAANAAAGGGATTATTTAAATTAAAGGGGAAGGGAAGGGGTTATTTAAAAAAGGGAATAAATGCGAAATTTAAGAAGTAAATTAAAAGGATAGAGAATAATTGAGGGAAGAGGAATGGAAGAAGTAAATGAAATGGGAATGGAAGAAAAAATGAAAGGGGAAGACAAGAAGAGAATGAAAGAGGAATGGAAGAAAAAATGAAAGGGGAAGACAAGAAGAGAATAAAAGAGGAATGGAAGAAGTGAATGAAATGGGAATGGAAGAAGTGAATGAAATGGAAATAGAAGAAAAGAATGAAATGGGAATGGAAGAAAAGAATGAATGGGGAAGGGAAGAAGAAAATATAAGATGAAGGGAAGAAGAGTATGTAAGGGGAAGGGAATAAGAAAATAATAGATGAAGGGAAGAAGAGAATGTAAGGTGAAGGGGGAAGAAAAGAATAAAAGAGGAAGGGAAGAAGAGAATGTAAGGGGAAGCGAAGAAGAGAATGAAAGGTGAAGGGGGAAGAAAAGAATAAAAGAGGAAGGGAAGAAGAGAATGTAAGGGGAAGGGAAGAAGAAAATGAAAGAAATTAATGAAATGGAAAACGAGGTAAAAGATTAAATGAAACCAGCTTGAGTTAGGAAGTAGGCACCAAGAAGACTAAAGAATGAGAGAGAAAGAACACGTCTAGATAAATAGATAGATAGATAGAGAGAGAGAGAGACGGAGATTGGATTGTTGGAGAGAGGTTTATAACGGTAACCGTGGATACAATACAAGAACTCAAACAAACGGATATATCGTCTTTGTTAAATTGTATAGACATATAATCATATTATTAGACACATATAGTCTTCATATAGTTACATACCCGAATATATTCATATTATTAGACACATAGTCTTCATGTAGCTACATTAGACATATAACCATATTATTAGACACATATAGTCTTCATATAGTTACACACCCGAATATATTCATATTATTAGACACATAGTCTTCATGTAGCTACATTAGACATATAACCATATTATTAGACACAACGTATTCATGTATAATTTATGTAATATTCATAAATAACTATGTTGAATCCATAATTTGATTAGCTTAACTATGTTTGACATTGATAGCTTATAATATCATGTCCGTGTTTGACATGGATAGCTTATAAGATCGAGTCCGTGTTTGACATTGATAGCTTATGAGATCGTGTCCTTGTTTGGCATTGACAGGGGCGGATACAGGATTTAAGTGAGGGGGGTACTAGATTTATTTCGGAATCCAAAAATATAGATTTAGTAACCAAAAGACGCGTCGCAAGCGAAATTTTTTTTGACTTAAAAGACTCTAAAAGAGTCAAAATTAATGACTAAAGACTAACAAACTAGATTTTTAACTTATCACACATTATAGTTTATTAAGATAGATATTTTTCCTGTTTTGCACTAGGTTTTCTTTCCCTTAAGTGATATTGAGAAGCTATTCTGAAAAAAGGAACAAAAAAATCAAAAATTAAAATCAAAAACAAAAAGTTGCTGATTTTTGAATCAAATTCAAGATGTGCAGTGTGCCGCGTATTAACACCAATAAAACAATAAACACACTGGATCGTCGTACTTATATCGTTAGTTATATTTATTTTTAACAGCTAGAAAAATAATTTTTTCTTCGTTCTGATGATTCAATTTTTCAATAAAAATTCATTTAGTTTTTTCTAAAATTAATATAGTAAGAAGTCATGACCCCAAATTATTGACAAATTGTTACATTTAGATATTTAAAGTTTTGTAATTTGTTAGAAAATTCAGAAGCAATGTCAATAGATGTGAAAGCTGTCTCAGATATTTGATCGTTTTCTCGTTAGAAACCTTTCGTTTCAAAACGATCAACTCTCGATTTTACTTTTAAAACAAGCATTTAAAATACTTTCGTTTTAAAAACGATTTTTTTGTATTTTACTTTAATAATTCTTTCATAGTAAAAAAATTCCGAATTTTTTTATTGTATAATTTCTTAAAACAAGAAATTCGCGAAATTTGTTAATGTTTTGGTCAGGAAAAAGTATTCTTTATTTTGCCTGTTAGAACATTTAATTATTTCTAAGGATTTGAAGATAATGATAACTTTTTTTAAAAGTATATTTCAAGATAATCTTAACAATATATAAATAGTTTATAAATAATGTTAACAGTGTTGGACTAGAAAAGAAGTTAAAAACAAATTATCAGACAAAATAGTCATTTCAGTTTATCATTGATCAGATTTGTCTATCCATCTATCTATCTGTCTATCTGCCAGAGGTATAACTAGCCTGACTGCCTCCAGAGGAACCTAGAACAAAAGAAACTTTAATTTCCTTCTTTCTTTAATTATATATTCTGTTTGCTATTTGATTTTTTATTCATCATAGCTTAAAGGATGTGTTTGCATAAAAAAGAGGGTATAGGCTGAATTTGAATTGAATTGGATATTGATCGCTACAATTTTTATTACTATCATGTGAAATTGCTAGTAATCGAAAACCATTTCAGTTCTAATTCAGACTTCAAAAATTATTTGAAATTTTTTATTTGAAGCAGAAAGTAAAAGACAGCATTTGGTAAATTTTTTTTTCGATTATCTCTTGTTTTTCATGAGCTATCACTTTTATAAAAACATAAATTTCGAGAAATATTTTAGAATAAAAGTTTATCTGAATGTAGTTGGATAAACAGTTTAACACTGTAATATTTTAGAATAAAAGTTTATCTGCATGTAGTTGGATAAACAGTAAACACTGTAATATTTTAGAATAAAAGTTTATCTGCATGTAGTTGGATAAACAGTAAACACTGAAATATTTTAGAATAAAAGTTTATCTGCATGTAGTTGGATAAACAGTAAACACGGAAACATTTTAGAATAAAAGTTTATCTGCTTGTAGATGGATAAACAGTAAACACTGTAATATTTTAGAATAAAAGTTTATCTCCATGTAGTTGGATAAACAGTAAATATAAAAGTTTATTTCCATGTAGTTGGATAAACAGTAAACATAAAAGTTTATCTCCATGTAGTTGGATAAACAGTAAACATAAAAGTTTATCTCCATGTAGTTGGATAAACAGTAAACACAGAAAAATACGAATAACAAAAACAAGTGAAATTTACACTGTACAGGTACAGCAAACAACGCAAAATAGCAAAAAAAGGAGAAATCATTAAAAATTTAATTTTTAAGAGAATTATTCACATTTAAAATTTGACTTAATGCAATTCCCGACAACGCCCAATTCTACAGTCAGATTGTAATTTGCTTTTGAACCATTTCTAAAAAAATGCTTTTAACATTTAAAAATACATTGTTGCAAAAATTTCAAAATCCTAAGTGTACTTTTTCAAGGAAAAGGAAGAAAAAAGGCGACATTGGACGTAATTTAATTATCTTTTTACAATTTGTTCTATCCCAGTGAAAATTAGGCGTAATTTAAAGTGATCTTCCGTTTATAACTTTTTAAAATGTTAACCTTTTAAACTTTATACCTGAAGAATGAATTAGATATTCTAGCTTTTCTATGTGAAAGATTAATTGTTTTAACTGTGGTTTCTCTGTTAAAGTAACGAATTTATCGCATGCTGAGACTATGGAAGGAAATATACAGAATTTAACACTTTTTATCCAAACAGAAAATGACGATTTCTTACTTATTGTCACTCAGATTAAGGTTTAAAGGTGTACCGTTGTAAATCAGACATGCAACTCTAAAAATAAATTTAACCTGTAGCTGCAGCAGCTTCAGCAGCATTAGCATCGTTTAGGGAGTATAGTCCTTCAGCTTGTGAGCAGTCAAAGTTAAACCACCAATCACAGATAAAGTTTTCCTAACATTTAATATCAAGATCAATAATAAATCAAGCATTTCAATTAATTTATTACGTTTCTTGCTAAAATCGGCCATAGCTTTTTTTCATAAAATTATCAAAAATCAATCATAGACGAAGTATTTCTAAAATAATGAATCAATTAATCGTAGATAGAGTTTAAACAAAATTATTAATTTATTTTATCAGCATTCTTAATAAAAATAAATAAAGTCTTGATTTTTAGAAAATAGCGAATTAAAACACATAATTAAAATAGGTGTAGTTTTAGGACTGCCATGCCCATTCCAAAAATATGATTGCCTGTGGAGGGTTCCAACGCAAGTGGATTTTACTTGCGCGCAATTGCGAGCTCTTGCAAGCAAGTGAATTTAATTGCGCAAAATTTCGTAATAATTGCGCGCAATAAACGCAATTGCAGCGTCCAACTTTCTTGCGTTTGTGTCAAATTTTATTTGAGAATATTCAATTTATACCTAATAGAACCCAAAACATGCAATTAATTATTGCGCAATTCCATTTAACAACATTTAAAAAAAATCAATTTAAACTTTGGTAGGGACATACAATAAACTGAGCTTCACTAACATTTCAGTCTCAAATGCTGAGTAAATTGAATTTAAACTTAATTTTTCATTTTATAATACTCATATACAGCATGATAACCATAAAACTCTGGCAGGGGAAGACGACTTTTAGACTCTGGGTCTGCTTTAACTAAATAAGTAAGTTAATTTTTGCTTTGTAACGACAACTAATACACCGTAATGTTGTCTTCCTATACCATAGTTTTCTGGTTCTCACTGTAGCAAAATATATAATTTTGATTAAATGAATCTTACAATTTTAACCATAAAAAATGTATCATATTGAATTTTTAACTAGTAGATTAACCTGCACACAAAACTTTAATATTTTTAAAATATGGAAAAATGTTCAAGTGACCCTGGATTATTTTTAAATCTACAGACTTCGGTGGATTTCCATTCTTGTATCTTCTGCATAAATTTGTAAGTCACACTTCAAAATGATTGAATTTTAAATGGAAAAGCCTTTGCAAAGAAATTCCGTGCAATTCGTCGCAATTCTGCGCAATTCCGCGAATATTTGATTGCATCCTTGTTCGCATTCATAGCGCAACTCAGAAGCAATCATTGCGCGCAATTTCGCGCAATTCCGCGCCACGGAATTCCGATTGGAAACCCTACTTGCCACATAGATGTAGGCTATAACAATGAAAAGCTGCTTCAAATTTAGAGACTGGCATGATTTTGAAGTGTCTCATTTCTGTGGCCTTTAATGTTAGCTTACTGGCTCAGTGATATTTTCGGAAGCCCCAGACATTTTTTGAATTTTTAGCTCAAACATGGTTGGTTCCACATGAAATTGTATTAAGTGTTCCTTGATTTAAGCCGGTACTCAATTGGAACCGGTTTTTGGCGGTTCAGTGACGCGGTTAAAATTCTTAAAATTCGGTCTCTAGATTAATTGAATTTTACCTGGTTAAAGATTGTCCCATTAGGGCAAAGAATACTATATGTTCTCAAACCACCTTCTCCATTGTTTGCGCAAATATGGAAAACCTAAAATTACAATTGCAACAAATTGAACATAATTTTCGCATAAAAAAACATTATATAATATTTAAAATGTTCTGAAGCGATCTCAACAAATCAACCAATATGAGGAAAAGTCTCAGCGATATATCAGTAAGAGTAAAGATCTTAACAGTTCAACCAATGTGAGTAAAGATCTCAACAGTGCAACCAATGAGAGTAAAAATCTCAACAATTTAACCAATAAGAGTAAAGATCTCAACAGTGCAACTAATGAGAGTCAAGATCTCAACAGTGCAACCAATGAGAGTCAAGATATCAACAGTGCAACCAATAAGAGTAAAGATCTTAACAGTTCAACCAATAAGAGTAAAGATCTCAACAATTCAAATAATGAAAGTAAATATCTCAACAATTCAACAAACCTATACATTTTTCACAACCCATAAAGCCTATTTTGTTTTTTTAAACATTACAAATAAATCCATCATTTTTATTTCTAAAAGTTGGTAGTTCATCGTCGAAAAATACTAACAATCCACCACTAGCTTACATTAAATATAATGTAAACAATAAATATGTAACTTTCCTTTTCCTTTTGCTTTTATTTCTATTTGTTTTATATTTTTTAGAATGGGGGGAAATATTCCCACAACTTCTATTTTTGGAGAACTGAGATCTTAAAAGTTCAATCAATAAGAGCGGATATTTCTAAGATTTAACCAATAAGAGCAAAGATCTCAAGAATTCAACCAATGAAAGTAGAGCTTCTCATTTGCACAAATGGTCAATGTCAACAGCTGACTGTACCTGGCATTCTGCACTAGTGTCAGCGTAGTAACCTCCCTCTACTCTTCCATCACAGCCAAAGCCAGTGTCAGGAACCTATTTTAAAAAGTATTGAAGATGAATATTTTCATTTTCATTTTCATTTTCATACTTTTAGAATTTTAGACATGTATCCTGAACCACAAAACCAATAATTTGACTAATACTAATCTTTTTATCATAATTTGCAAAACATTTTTTTTTGAGTTAATTTAGATTTACAGGGCGTCCCACAAAACATGACAGTTTGTAAATAGTTTAGAATGTCGTCTTCCATACACTGTAATATATATCAAAGGCTGTTTGCAGTTTATTTCGCTTAAAAAATCTTTTGCTCAAATATATTTTACTTTGAAGTTAATTTTAGGATAATATGACTCGACTATATAATCTTTCTATTATTGTTTTTGGTATTAAACCACTTAACAAATTATGGAAGAAGACATTCTAAACTATTTACCAAGTGTCATGTTTCGTGGGACACCCTGTAGTATTTTCGTTGGTTAGTTTATTTGTTTAGAAGAACAAAATGTACTGTTCAATGTCTGAATCTGATCAGAATTTACCTGAGCATAAATGGGATAATCCTGACCAGGTATTCCAGGAATATTAACTTCTAGACCTCCATCCTCTCCATCTCCTCCTCCTCCACCACCTCCTCCACTCTAAAACAAGTATTCATATTCTCTCATGATTTCGCTCTTAAAGAACTCAACGCAAACTCTAATTTTCTAATCCCTATATTTTTGCAACATGAAGCATGATGAACGATGGTGGCATTTGTAACTCTATAGTTCAAACTTTGACAATGTAAACCCGCTAAATTGAAGACTGAAATAACATAGGTCTACAACATCAGGTTTCAAAGATTATTAGAAAATCATAGAATGAAGGAAGATAAACCTGGTTATAGCTGAGCTAGATATACCTGGTAGCCGGATAGCTGGCCTAGATATACCTGGTTATAGCTGAGCTAGATATACCTGGTAGCCGGATAGCTGGCCTAGATATACCTGGTTATAGCTGAGCTAGATATACCTGGTAGCCGGATAGCTGGCCTAGAGAGCTAAATATCTGTTCGGAGAAAATAGCAACAAAGAAGAAGAGAACATGGAGAGAATTCATCTGTAAATTTAAAAATTAGTTAACTTTTATTTTGATTTATGTATATATGATCGCCATCAAATATTTATTCTTACAGGGGGACTGTAAGTGAAGTTTAAGTGAACCTCCAGATGACACTGCCGATGTACAACGGTACCCTTGAAGCTATAATCTGAAAAAATGTGGAAGATACCATTGTTTTTTGACTCAAATAGTATTTATTTCTGTTTCTCCATTTCATCTTATATGCAAGAAATGTGCAAGTCACTTTCTCAGAGAAACCGAAAATAAAAGTTTAAAGGAACAAAAACATTGATATCTAACTCATATTTGATTAGACAAAGCTTTTAAGTATACCTTTGTAAATCAGGCATTGCAATCTTTGCTTGGAGGGTCACTTGAATGAAAATTTAAAAATACATAATTGTATTTTTACGCATAGTTTTAAAAAATGTTGGACATATTCTTGCCATTCAGTGCATTTGTCGCTTTCCAGAAACATTTTCTGATTTAAACCTAGAGGATCAAGTTTAGGGTTTCCAGCGAATGAAAACTTTCGCGAAAAACTGCAAAAATTTTTGTTTTTATTTCGCAAACGTTTTTGCGAAATTTCGGTTTTTAATTTCGCGAATTAAGCAAAAATGTTAACATTTTTCGCTAGCGAACAAAATACGAAAAATGCAAAATTTTCGGCTCTCGCGAAACGATTTATACTTTTCGCTGGAAATCCTAATCAAGTTTAAAGTTTGTTTAAACATTAATGACACGGTCACAGTTCTGACTAAAAACATTATTGCAATGCACAAAAAAAAATATTTAGTATTTTGTACTAAACTATTTTCATTTCAAAAACCCTTTTCATTCTTGATTTTATGCTTTGAACTTGCATGCATTTAGTTTATTTCCTGGAACACCAGTGTGACTCGCGTGAATAAGCATTTTTAGTTAAAAGTCAAATCAAAGACAATCCATAAATGAAAAATAACTGATTTTTTAAAACAATTCAATCTTTACTACTTTTTACTACTTTATTATCATAGGTATGATAAATGTCTTTTTTAAAAGTTCAACCAGACTCGACAAAAAAAAGTATTTCTTTATCGTTCATAAAAACAATAAATCGGTGGCCGAATTTAAAGAATTTGAGCGGCGGTTTAAATTTAAGCCGAGGTTCAAATTTGGTTGGTTCCACTTAAAATTGTATCAAGTGTTTCAAGATTTAAGCCGGCGCTTAATTTAAACCGGGTTTTGGCGGATTTAAACCGCGGCTTAAATTCTTTAAATTCCATCTCAGGTTAAAAGAATGTTTACATATAATTGTTTTTCTTTTTACACGTATCAAAATATTCATGTACTATGCAGTGCATTTTTTAGATTTTAGATTTGCGAAAACCTTATTGAATTATGTTTGGCTTGATGAGCTACTTCGCTTGTGCATTCTTGGCCATTCTTATAGAGACGCAGTTTAATGAGTTTTTTTTGCTTTTCCATTAAATCAGACTTTGGATCGACCGAACCTTGGATCTTTGCATCCATCTTAATAATATTGATATACCGAGTAAATAAAGATTCCAAAACATGGAACTATTTTTTATTAACATTTGCTTATTTTTGGAATATCCATTGATCTTCCAATCCTAATGAGTTGTAAATTATTTGACATCTGAACTTGCAAAGATTTCAATGCACGTGGTTCAGAAGAACCATAGAATAAATATTGATAAGACATGGTGCATCATAGACTATATATTAATAAGACATGGTGGATCATAGAATATATATTAAGACATGGTGCATCATAGACTACATATTAATAAAACATATTGCATCATAGACAATATATTAATACGACATGATGCATCATAGAATATATATAAATAAGACATGGTGCTTCATAGAATAAACATTAATCAGAAATGGTGCATCATAGACTATATATTAATAAGACATGGTGCATCATAGACTATATATTAATAAGACATGGTACATCATAGACTACATATTAATAAGACATGGTGCATCATATACTATTATTAATAAAAATATTGCAACATATATGACAATATATTAAAGACTAAATTATTGAAAAGACAGGTTGAATTACAGACTTTAAAAAAGACCCTAAAGAGAGACTGCGAAGATATGGTGCAAATATAGAAGAACTATTTAAAGAAGGAAAATGTTATTTTTACGGGTTGAGCCCTATCTCCTCCCCCTCCTCTATATATGCCCTTGGAGTGACCGCCGTGACCGGTCATGTCTGTCTCTGATATTTATATAGTTTATGCATCGTGCATACTTGACATTAATGTGCAGGCCTTCACACTGTATATTTTACCACTCAGCGCACTCTTATTATTTTTACTTCTATAGATAGATACAGCGGGACCCATAAACCTAACGATTAGGAAGACGACTGTTAGACTAAAAAATTACACAAATGATTTTGCTTAAGTTTCATCTTCCTATTCCACAGTTTTATAAGTTTCACTGTATATACAAATCAGTTACACCGGAAGAAGTGTATTTTAATTTGTACCGCAAATAATCGATGTTTATAACTGTGTAAACAGTATAAATATTTATAACCAATCCTCTCAGATTGATTTAGTATAAGATCGTCAAACCAAAAGTCTGGGGTCAATTTTGGAAAGTCGACCACAATTTTTTCCTAAAAAATTTACATCTGGCTTTTTGTGACTTTGAATGATGTAGTGGAATAAAACACAATAAACCTTTTAATTTAGTTGTAAACCAAAGACATCATAGAATTGTATATTTTCTTGAAAAATCATTCAGCTCTACCCCCTATATATGAACATTGCCCCCTTGACCATTTTTATGTTATATATGAATTTGTCAGTTGCATTCCTACAGTCTAGGATAAAAGAGCTCTGCTAGAAAAAAGCTCTCTGCAGTCTGCACTATTTGCAGTGGACGCTGAGAAAGGTGTCTGCACATATGGAGGGAGGGTGTCTGCACTTGCATATGGAGGGAGGGAAGGCCAAGCGGCCCTGAACCCTGTGCTTAAGTAGCTAGCCTGCTTCTTTACTACAGAAGCAACGACCAAGGTATTAAGTCAAGAAATAGGAATAACAAAGAGCTACTATGTCTTATACTAATCCGGTTTTATATCCACTCCAATTAGCGATCGGAGCTCTTACTGCAAGGGCCCTTTCCCTGCTCCCTGAGCAGAGCTCTTAAAAGGGGACAACTCCGCATTTTGCATGCAGCATTGCTCACTGAATGCAATACTTCCAAAGGAATTCCGCTGGACTGGGATACAGTATAGCATGTGGACAAATGTAGTGATTTTAACGAAACATTCCTAAGCCACTCCTACAAACCCTTATCCTTATCTCTAACTCTCCTCTACCTACCATCTAGACTTCTCACAAGCAGCGAAATGAGACTCAAGGACATTTCTATGAGCGGGTAACTTGATTATCCTTTGTTGAATAGAAACCCTCCTTGTACAGGAAAGTAAAAATGTCCGGTTCATTGCAAGGAATTGCTATTGCTCCCTCGCCGGAAATATAAACTAACTTTAAGTGCTAGAAGTGATGGGTACACCTATACAATGAAAAGTTGATCCTGCACTGTCTTATAATGGCGAAAAGCAGCTCCATAAATAGACGGGCAAAGGTCGGCAAGGAAAAAAGAAACTGCGAAAGCGCAGATGGAGAAACGGTAACAGTAAGAAAACCACCCTTTAATAATCACTCTGCAATTCAATTCAAAAGAATTAAGAAAACGTTTAACTTACCACATGGGGGTAATCTTAATTATTTGTTTCGAGGGTTCTATGCAGAAATAGAAAGGAATTCAAAACTCATGGCATTTACTTATCTTAACAGTATTGCACGGCAATTTCTTTGTAATTGTAGAATGCGGATTTTTGTCTGACATTTCCGACGCTGAATACTTTTCTTATTTTATAGATTTTTTTCAAAATAGATAATTCTTTCTATTTTTAGTTTGTTAACTTTTTTAACTCTTGTTGAATTCATGATGTATAAATGTAAAATGTATAATGTATTATGTAGGGAGTATACATATACCGAGGGTAATGTTTCTAATAAAAGTTCTCTGAGCATTCATAGTTGTATGTTAGGACAACCTTCCAGGCTAAACGATTCCTGTGAATTCAAGCAGCAGTGTTTATGCCATAGAAAACATAGATTACAGACGTTTTCAGGTTCTTTCTCTATGTGGCAACTTTCGAAATGTAACAAATTTCACAAGTAAACATGCCCAAGATGTCCCAGCCGCAACGTGAGAATAGAACACATGGCTCAATCCAATCTGACCTTATTTTTAAACTGTCGAATGTTTTCTTTTTTGGGGTTAATTGACCAAATGGTTTTGAAAAAAATATCGTTTAGGCTAAGAACAAGGAATTAACAACGGAAGTGTCTCAATTATAAAAGCAGCAGCTTTTGGGTAAGGGTAGTGTTCGCGAAAAATGAAAGGTAAGGTAAGGCCGGGCTGACATCGAATTTTATTCGTTCTTGATCGCTACTGATTATACACTTATCTGTTGCAGCGTATGTAAGGAGAAAATGGTAAAAAATGTCTTGTACCCAAGTGTGTATCGTCCATTAATTAATTAGTCAGATATTAAAACCTACAAATGTCGAATTCAGATCGATGTATTCTTTTATAATTGATATTTCATAATAATTTTATAAATGATGTACTTTAAAAGATGATTATTTGACCGCTAGGTGTCTTAATAATCTAGTTTTTTAGTCTTAAGTCATTAATTTTGACTCTTATTGAGTCGTTTTAAGTCAAGAATTTTTTTGTTTTTGTTCCTAAAAAATCTTGCCCCCCCCCCTCACTTAAATCCTGTATCCGCCCCTGTGTCTCATCTTGATATTTCAGTGATTTCACTTGGAAGAGTTACACCTAGGAGCCAAAACATTGTTGTTAAAAGTAACCCCTTTCATTTTTCGCGAACTCTTCCTTTAATTATCACCTGTGAAATTTATTGTTTGTCATTTGTAATATAAAACAGAACACACGAGTTCCGAAAGTTATGTCACTAACCCAGTGTCTTGTCAGGTCTGGGGCCAAACCACGGCTAGGAAATTTATTCCCCTGAGGTTTCTGCTTCGTCTGGACAAACAAATACTCTGTGGTTTATGCTAACATAAACATGTCATGAAGCACGCGGAAACTGTATGAGGTGAAGATATTTTTATATCGAACATTTCGAAATTAAATAGATTGAAAAAAATTTCTCATAAACCCGGAAAATGCTTTTCTAATTAATATCCACTTGTGGTGTTGCTTTACTGTCTAAATGATAGTGTGCAACTCGATAAACATGACAATCAAGAGACGACTCAAAAAGAGTAAGAATTGCTTCCAAATGTCGTAAACCAGAGAGTAACATAACAATGAACTCACTTTTCTCTACTTTCATAATTTTCTAGATGTTTTTCTCAAACTTTATTCATATTTAGGATTCAGGTACAAATGAAACATGCCAAGTCGAAAAAATACCCATTTTCTTTAGATTTTTAATTTTATCTTATTCTTCAAGGGATTTATCGCCAAAAATAGTAATTCACAGCGTTGTATGATCAAGTTTGAATAATGTGTCCCTTATTCATGTTTCTCTAGAGAAAACTGATTGTTTTGTTTGAAGTTGAGGTTCCATGCTAAAGAAACTTGCGCATTTCCACTGCACAAGGGAGGATGATTAATCGGAATTAAACACCTTTCAAGCGTAAAAAACGTTTACATTTTCAACATTATTCCTCAATTAAAATTACAACGACAGTCTGTTTAACATTGGTAACGATACAAAACTAAAATACAAATAAATAAGTTGAAAACATATTTAGATAATAGGGAAACCTTCTTCAAATCTGTTTTCTCAAAAATCAAGTTTTTCACATATTAAAAATGTAAGAATTACAAACATGATTTTTTTTTCATCGTTCACACTGTATGCCGATTTTATTAGCGCCTGATCCAATCAGGGTTCAGTCATGTGTTAGTTGTCTATTCTGAACCAATAGAAATTGTATGGCGGTAACATCTATCTATCTATCTCATTATCCAATTAGAGATAGGAATCCTTATATCGGCGCCAACAGTAAATGGAAATATATACTACTTCTACTAAAACTATAGTGCGCGGTAAAAGAATCATTGAGGAGTAATTTCAAGTGAGCCCATATTTAAAAAGTTGAATGCCTGATTCACAACGGTACCTTGAAAACCTTTATTTGAGCAACAAGAAAGCTATCGTCGTTTTTTCTTTCTAGAAAAGACTAAATTCTTACAACTTCTTTCTTGGTCCCTGTAGAATAAATCCGCATAATAGGTACCAATGTGAATCAGGCGTGTAACTGAATGAATAAAGAGTCTCTTGAAATTACGTTTACAGTCCATTGAAAGTAAAGTAATCAATTACTGAAAAAGGTCTCCCTAGATTAGACAGTCAATAAACTCCGTCTATAAACCCTCCAGGCTTGAATGCAGGCTGTTGGTGCATAACTGGGGTAGGGGAGGGCAGAGGCCCCTTGCCCCCTCCTCCTGTACCATCCAGGTCAGGGGCCCAGAAGTTTAGGCTTTGACAAGCAGAGGCCATCATCATATACCTGAATATTTATAATAGTTTATTATCAAGATATCAGGATAGACTATATAATAAAGCCCCCCTGCAGCGCCGAAAAATTAATAGTTGAGAGCATCTGCATAGATATTAATATATATTTCATTAGTCATATATTAGCTATTGCTGGCCATACGGATAGGCTAAAAAAAAATCGAAATTTTTTTCTTCATCTAAATAAATTTTTTTTATCACATGCCTATTTTATTTCCGACAAATCACAATATTAGGAGATTTCAAAAAGCTGTAAAGAAGGTTATTGACGAGTTAACAAAATGAAAAAATTAAAAGTATAATATTAAAATGAATTGAAAATTGAGTATAGGTTTGTCCTTTAAATGGCAGTTTTGATATTTAATCGGATAAAAATTAGTAAGTAAGGGAACACACAATACAGTGCTTTGATACATAATGAACTTGCTTGGGAACCCAGCTTTGCCCGCATGGAAACTAAATTTTTCCTTTTAAAACTTAGAACTTTAAACCCAGTTCCCCAATCAAAATGTGAGGCAAATTGGTCCAGGGGTTCCTGAATAATAATCGGACATCTAGACAAACAGACAACAAGACAAACAGAGATTCTTTAAATATATGTATATGTATATGTATATTATAAATTTATATGATTACCTGGGGTTGAACTGCACACTTGTTACAGGATGTTGATGCTCTCCTCTCAGAGTAAATGCCCTGAAGTATTGAGTACAGCACAGTACAGTTAAGGCGGTAGAAAAGGTGCGGTAAATAATTATTTAGTTTATCTAGTTTCTAGGATTAAACTGGGTTAACACTGAACTTTGCATATTCCCTCTCAATAAACCTAGAAAATGTTGCTTAAAAACAATTAGACACATTAAATAATTAAATCTACCCAATTGAGCGCCGGCTCAAACCTCTAAACACTGAATACAAATTCAAGTGGAGCCAACCATGTTTGAGCCGCGTCTCAAATTATTTAAATTCGGCCTCTGAAGTCCTACACGTGACACAAAATCTCTATATAAACTCTGACGTAGATATTCATCGATTATTGTATTATTGTAAATATAAGAAGCAAACCAGATTAAAACATTTAAGCCAAAATTATTAACTTTGATAATATTATGTTTAAGAAATTCTTTTTGACAGTCTAGTACTGACGTCAGTTGGCTAGATTTAAGTTCATAATTGGTTATATTGGGAAAGAATCACGATTACAAATAAATAGTTTATAATGTTATTTTCTGTTAACCCTATCCTATCCCTGGCTGGGGAAGAAATCAACGGAACAAACGAATACCCTCTTCTGTAAAATAAGTGTAATCTATTGCTTTTAGAGACTGCAACAATAAACCTTATTTAAATTTGTACAATGCACAGTATAAATCTCATCTCAGGATTTAATCTATATNCAACATTAAACCCCCGGATTTTTACCAAGCTTTCAAAACAGCTTGGATAGTGGTACACATAAAAATGGAAACAAAGAGGAACTGTCAATTAAAAACTTATTTACTCTTTTCATGTAAACTTTGATTCGGGGTGTCCCAATTAAATATGTCGTCTTTGTTCCAAGAGGGATTATTTCGAAAATACAATTTTGTAGTACCTCAATTTAAACATTTAACACCGAAAACTAGTAGTCTCCGGATTTCCAAAATGAGTTCTACCATTTTTTCACCTTTATAATAGACGGAAATGGTAGGAATTTTTTCCAGATTCTTAATTTAAAATAAAAAAAACTGTTAAAATGTTCAATATCTCCGGCAATTTAAAAATAAAAAGAAGGTAGACCACGTTTTGGAAAGTTCATTAGACGTATAATCTTTATTATGCACGTTATGTCATTTATCAATTATCAGAAATCAAAGACGATATTAAAGTCGTCTCTCAATTCCCATGTTTATTGGGACGCCCTGTAATAAAACTTTGGCAACGCTAGTGCTTATTATACAATGAACAGTGAACAGGCTTATGATAAGAAATGTACTTACTTTTGTCCTGTGTCTGCCTTGTATACGTGTATTGTACTGTCACTAGAACCAGTCAATACATATTGAGAATCAGGGGTAAAACTGGCTTCAATAGGAATACCCTAGTATTAATACAACAAAATAAAAAGATTTATAAGAACCTAGCAATGAGAATAAAATGAAGTAGTTGAATAACATAGGACTAGATCAACTACCGCCCATCTCAAATGTGAATTGGAGTAAAATGAAGTAGTTGAACAACATAGGAATAGATCAACTACCGCCCATCTCAAATGTGAATTAGAGTAAAATGAAGTAGTTGAACAACATAGGATTAGATCAACTACCGTCCATCTCAAATGGTTTAACAAAATGAGACTTTAAGGGACTGTAAGCGTAACTTCAAATGACACTCTATGCAAAGAGGTCAGTGTCCTATTAACAATGATACCCTTAAAACCTTTGACTGTCTATCGAGTGCAGAGAGGTGTGTGTGTATATCTGTTAAACAGCTGTTAAATTGTTCTGAAACCCGGTGTACGCTGAATATAGTTTGAACTTAACACAGCTGATCCGTTGCATAGCGTTCCTTCAAAATATCTCTCTTTTACTCTAAAAGCGGTTTTCAAAAGTAAACTTTAAATTTTCTGTCGCTTCTGAAAAGTAACTTTTGATATTTTTACTGTGAATTTTCCTTCTATAAATGGAAGGTCACTTGAAATTGATCCTATTGTCCCTTTTAAGTTTAAAGTGTTCTATGGCGTACAAAGGAACAATAACCAAAGGTTTATTAGCAAATTAACCTTATTATTCTGGTATCCAGCAAGGGTATAAAGGGGTTTTCCATCGAAAGCGTCAACTATGCGTATCACAGCTCCATTAGTAGTCAACATCATTAGCTTACCATCTAAATACAGGGGGGATTGATAAAATAAAGATATTAAAGAAATAAAGGAAAGGATCAAAATATGAAAAAAGATAAAAAGATATAAAAGGATAAAGAAAATGTATTTTAAGATGAAAAAAGATATTTAAGAATAAACAAAAGAGTACAAAGATGAAACAAATATATGTGAGAATAACCATATGGATTCAGAGATAAAAAGATATGGAAGAATAAAGAAAATGTATTCAAAGATGAAAAAAAAGATATTTAAGAATAAACAAAAGAATACAAAGATAAAAAAGATTAAATGATCAAAAAAATATAAAAGAATAGACAAAATGATTCAAAGATAAAAAATATTGAAGAATCAACAAAAAAAAATTCGAAGATTTATAATAAATGGAAGTATGTGAGAAGAACATTATGGAAGAATGGAAAGGATGAAATATTCCAAGAATTAATGAAAATATAAAGTACGAGAGAAGAAAAGAATGGAAGAATGGAAAGAATGAAAATATTGGAGAATCAAAGAAGATATGAAAGTATGAGAGAAGACAAGAATGGAAGAATGGAAATGATGAAAATATTCCAAGGATTAATGAAAATATGAAAGTATGAGAGAAGACAAGAATGGAAGAATGGAAATGATGAAAATATTCCAAGAATTAATGAAAGTATGAGAGAAGACAAGAATGGAAGAATGGAAAGAATGAAAATATTCCAAGAATTAATGAAAATATGAAAGTATGAGAGAAAACTAGAATGGAAGAATGGAAAGGATGAAAATATTCCAAGAATTAATGAAAATATGAAAAGAGAAAACTAGAATGGAAGAATGGAAGAATGAAAATATTTCAAGAATTAATGAAAATATGAAAGTATAAAAGAAGACAAGAATGGAAGAATGGAAAGAATGAACATATTGGAGAATTGAAGAAGATATTAAATTGAAACATAAATCATTGAAGTGAATAAAAAATAAAGAAGAAAAATAAAAAGATTTAAAGAGCTTAAAATTAAGATAATATATAACTTAAATGTCCTCCCTCCAAAACTTCTATTGGTTTTCTTTTTTGATATTTGAAAATCAAAAACATAAATGGCGTTTGCGTTCAATTCGAAATCCTTTTTTTTGTGAATAATTCTCCCAAATTCAGCACTTTTTAAAACTAGATTATTTGTTTTTACATGATGCACACAAACTTAGGATCTATCATATTTAAGAGGATAAACAGATGTTTAAAGGGAGAGACCGGCTAGACATGGTAGTTGAACTGAAAGTGCAGTTTTGTAGAGAATAGTTTTAGTATTTATTTGATACCAATGGGACATTTTTACGGTGTACAATTTTTAATTTAGAGCGAAAAGTTGTTTTTGATATTCAACAGTTGTTTCAGTCAGCAGAAGAAACGTTTTATTACAATTCTTAAATAACATGCACAAAATATGTAACACATACTATTCTACCGGTTGCATGTACACAAACAGGAGAAAAATAATGAACTTAAATCATTGAAAAAAGTTATTATAATTCATTTTAAAATCTCGCTGGTTTATGCAATATTTTTCAGCTAAGGTCGCTTATTAGAGGTTTTCTTTAATTTATTATTAAGACGACATTTTGAAGAAAACTGCGAATAAAATTATAGAAACAGCAAAGGAAATTATGAAAATTACATAATCGATTCTATGGTTCTATGGCTTTCATCGATAATTTTTTAAAAGAAATATATTCATTAACAGCAAATTAGTCTATAAGATAATATTTTTACATATTTTGTCAAGGTTATTAAATAATTGTAAAAATCGTATCTTTTGCCGACTGAAACAACTAGTGAAATATTTCAAACAACTTTACGCTCTTATTTAAAAATTGTACACCGTATAAATGTCTCATTGGTATAAATGAATCCTAAAGTTTTTCTCTACAATACTGCACTTTCAGCTCTACCATGCCTAGTCGGTCTTTTTCCCAGCAAATGTTTCGTTTTTTTTTCACTGTTTCACCGTTTCCGGATACAAAAAGTTAAACATTTTCATTAATTTTTTTACTCCCAAGAATAGAATTAAAAAAACTTTAAAATGTTATGCAAGCCCATTGCAACCTCCCCCTTAAAGCCTCTCGCGCGATCTGTCAAAAAGTTTTCATTTATACAGAGCCCGCGAGTTAAAAGCTTCGGCTCGAGACTTAATTCTTTAAACGCAGCTTTAAGACCCAATCTGAGACCCGGAACTATGACGACAGCTTGTGTCACGTGATTGACAGCTGCGAGATCTTAGGCTCGACTTAAGGAGTAAAGCCCAATGAAAATAAAACCGACCTTGGTTGCTTTTAGTGAAGAATAAGGCTCTATGTTGGGTCTTATTCTCATCAAAACCCGGAATGCGCCAGTTCCAACTATGAAAATCCGCCAAATACAACATTAAACCGGTTTTATGAACTAAACTCTGTTGAAAATTAGAGCAACTTAAATCCGAAAGCCCGAGCCGTAAATAGGCTCAACAGCTCAGACCTGAGTCGTATTTTCTTGAATTTTTTTAATCGCCGGCTCAGGGGGAGTAAAAAAAAAGTTTGATTAAAAGAGTTGCACATAAAAGGTACAATTTTGCACCAGACGTCGCTTATCACACTTAGATTTACGCTGAATAAAAAAATGAATTTATCCATTAAACGGTGGAATATGAAGACGATCATTAAGAACTGCTATTAGTATTTGATGCTATTATTGCAGTTTCCCAGTTGCCTGCACAAAGTTGTGAATCTTAATAACCTAGGCTGAATTTTATTCCTGTCCAGTCACAACCAGATTCCAGAGGGTACTTGAAAGTTGAGAACGGTCCCTATTAAATACATAATTCATCATCAATTAAATGAAAAGGATGGATATTACAATGTATCAATGTATCAATGTATCAATCAATCAATATATCAATCAATCAATCAACCAATCAATCAATCAATGAATCAATCAATCAACCAATCAATCAACCAATCAATCACACACTCACTCACTCACTCACTTAATCAATCAACCAATCAGTTTTAGGGACATCTTCCTATTCACAAATCAAACTCAAGATGAACTAACTAGATCAAGAATGGGATTACAGCTCGAGTTTTTGTATTCAAAAGAAAAAATTTTGCTTTGATTTTGGAGAAAATAAGATTTCAAATGTATATCTCAAAAAAACATTTTTACTTGACAGAATAGGTAATATTGATGAACAAAAATACCTAAATATTTTCTTAAATACAGAAGGTGAAAATGATTACTGAAGGCCGGGGGAGAAGGGGGGGGGATGGTAGAGATTAGACCTGAGGCTGAGAATAAATCCTACCTTCTCAAAACTTTGTAGATCGTAAAGTTTAATATATTCACTCTGCACACCAACAGCAAATATTAATCCTAGAAAACAAATTTAATTCACAATTTTTTCTTATAAATAACGAATTATTTGGATAAAAACAATATCATCATTCTTAAAAATAAATATTTATTACCTCATTAAATTATTCACCCTGGTTAAAAATGAACCCCCCCCCCTTTTTAGATCAAAACAAAATAAAAGTTTGATAACATTTTTCCCGGGTTGAACATTAAACATTCTTACTTCTACAGGAAAAATAAAAAGATTTAAAGAGCTTAAANAACTAGGTTGAGAAGCTCCACGGGAACCCCTTCTCTCTCCTGTTCAACAAAGACAAAGAGATCAGAGATTTTTTAATCATTTACAACTACTTTTCAGGGAAGTTCGGGGAATTTTACTTTCCCGAAAAATTAGTGCTCAATTTAATCGTCTTTTGAGATGAAAATGCGCGAATTTTTTCCTGAAAACTTTGCAGAGCAGGTGGTTATTTTACATAACTGTTCCAAGGGACGTTAAGAACCTTAACCTTCCACTGTTGGGGAAATCATAGGTTGGTAATATTGGTAAAAAGGCGGTAAAGTTTTTTCGTGCTCTGCAAACTTACAAAGTACAGAGAAGAAGTAAAAAAAAGTAGAAAAGGAGAATAAAAGAATAACTTCATGTATATTGTATATAATGAGGTTAAAGCTCAAAATTTCTTTTTTTAAAGTGAATATAGAATTTTACTTATGATGAAAATTTATGAGAATATTTTTGAAGCAACTGAACTCCAATTTTCATTCAATTCATTCATTAATAAAAACTATGATTATATACAATATAAATCTGCTTTTAGAATAAAATCAATTTTAATTTATTGGTACCTGAAATACTTGAGAAATTTGTTGTCGTGAATGGACATGTATCTACAATTCAACGTTGATAAAAATAAAATAAAAGTTTTACTTAGTTAATTTATAGTAAAAAATGCATCTAAATTTGTAAAAAACCGACGTTCTGCGGCGAAATTCTGAACTAAGTTGAATATTCCTAAGAGCATGATCCCGTCCCTCCTTGTTAGACGCGTAGATGATTGTATTGGATGCATGAGTGAAATGAACAAGATCAGCTCCATACTTAGCAGATCTGATCACTTGCTTCTGCATAGCCTTCAACAGGGGGAATACATAGAGTTTAGATAATATGGGAAAATATGGAATGAAACATTTTTATGATAATTTATGGTTTTGATTATCTTTCTAAAATTTTCGTATGGAAAGATTTTGTTAATAAAACGATATTAGCAAACTGTCAAGGATAATTTTTTTAGGGTTTTATTTGCTGAATTGGGGTAAATAATATATCTAAAAAATCATTTCCTCTTAAAAATATACAATACACCCATGATATATTTCCCTGTCAAATATTTCCACAGAAAATTTCGTTTTGTTGAAAACTTTAGTTTCTCGGAAAATATATAATTTCAAATACAATTCTTTGCAAAAAAAACATGAATTAGATGTGAAAAGACTAAAAATTAAAACTGAGCAAAAGTGTTACATAATTGAAGGTTTTTTAAATGAATCCTAAAGAAGTTTTCGACAACACTGCATACTCAGTTTAACTACCATACAAAGCCGGTCACTCACTTTAAGCATTTGTGATTTTTAGGCTTTTAAAAGGCAGCACAGAGAGGTGACAAGTTCAACATAATTCAAAATTGTTAGCTCTAAAAGTTTATATTTTATTAAAATATGAACGAATAGTTAACCAACAAGTTTTATTTATATATTTGTCAGTCGGGTATGTGCAGACATGTGCACCCAGTATACTTGCATCGACCATCATCTATTTTATTTTTTTCCCCATATTGTTAAAAAAGTTAAAATTAGAAAAATAAATTGAAATCATATATTTGTCCGTGTAAACATTTTGCATTATATAATAAATAATATTATAGAGAATCAAATTTCGAATTGTACAGATTTTTTAAACCCACAATTCCGACCAAAAAACCTCAAAAGTCAAATCAGATCAAATAAGATACCCCAAAAAAATATTTTTGATTAATTAAAAGGATTGTTCACTTTTCATCCACTCTTACCGTTTTGTCTAAAGAGCTGGAGATAACTGTATCGTTTACTGGAGATAAGGAGAGAGAAACCACTTTAGCTGTGTGTCCACTAATCATTTTAGGAGTTAAACAAAAATTACAATTCATCTTACAAAATTTAAATTAATATTGAAATCTCCCCCCCCCCCACATAGAGTTTAGATAATATGGGAAAATATGGAATGAAACATTTTTATGATAATTTATGGTTTTGATTATCTTTCTAAAATTTTCGTATGGAAAGATTTTATTAATAAAACGATATTAGCAAACTGTCAAGGATAAAATCGAGAAAAATTTTGCTATTTTTTCTGAAAAACTTAAGATCAAAACAAGAGCTTTGTATTTCTAAATTGTACATGTCTAAGGCTACAAAAATAAAAGTAAGCTAATAAGGCAAAATCAAAGGCTAAGGCATTGATAATCTTCAAAGTTTAGTCTTGAAAATTGATGTAACTTTTGAATGCAATCTTGCTTTATCTGTGCTAGGTATTCTTATTCTATTAAATTTCTTTTATTTTGATGTGTTGCTAGTTCACAAATGTCGATAAAACTGAATTAAAATAAATGAATATTGACAGGTTCTGTCAAATACCTTTTCACAATCATATATCACCATAGAATCATCCTCTCCGCTAGCTATCAACCGTAATCCGTCATGAGAAAAATCTAAATATTTCAGATTTATAAATATATATTTTAAAATTTCCGCTAATTTATGAGAAAATATTGATTTCCTTGAATAAAGATTCAACTTGTATTATGTATGTTAACATAATAGGATTTTCCCCCAAATGTTTAATGGTTTGAGTATGAAGCATTTAACCCTTCTCTAAATATGGCAATATTGTTTGACATCGCTGAACTTAAAGGGACTATAAACATAATTTGAAAGCTTCAAAAAAAATATTTTAGATTTATATTTAACACTGTTTTTCAAAAATAAGATGAATATTTTTGATGTTTATCCTGCAAAAACAAAGTTTAGGAGAAAAATTAGATTTTCCTAATAAAAGGTTGAATGATATCATGATTAGCAAACTTTAAATTGTTTAAACACAAATAGTGGTTTGAATATCGAGTCTTCTTCTTAAATAAAGCAATATTTCGCTGAACTTAAAGGGACTGTGAACGTAAATTCCCTCCATTAACAGAGTGGAATGTACAATTCATAACGATAGCCTTAAAAATTCTGTTAAGGCAAAAAAATAACACAACAATTTGGCTGTTTATAATTATGATTCTCACCAAGTTGTTAACCTTGGGAAACGCCGCTATTTTTAACTTTTTTTATTTAAAGGGCATCGTAGAGATTCAGACACTGTACAGTGCACATAAATATACTGTACAGTGTACGTAAATGAACTGTACAGTGTACGTAAATGAACTGTACAGTGTAGAAAAAAGCGATAGTTGAAATTACTCTATAGTCCCTTTACTGAAAAATAGGGAATCTTCAAGAATGACAAGTATTTCAGTTTCTTAGAAATCAAAAACAAAAAGATTTCGAGGATTTTTTACTCATCATGAAAACGAAAAAACAGAATTCAAAAAATCATTTTGTATATTTCTTAGTATTGCTTAATATTGTAAATTCAAAATATTATTTTATCACTTAACCATAAATTTTGATAAGTATTTTTGATCAAAAATATTCCAATGTAATCTAAATCCTACCAATATAGTTTATCCGTTTGTCCCGACTATAACATCTTAGGACCTGAAAATTGCTTAAAACTTCCTCCTCCAAAATCATTTTATCTGAAAAAATGCAAAAATAATTTGATTTTCTTAAAATTTTACAAATGTTGTCGAACATACTCCCAGAGTACAATAGCACCTGTCACATGCACGTTAAAGGATCTAAACAGATTACAATTTGTTTGTTTTTTAAATTTTTTCTTAAATTTTAAATAAATAATTTTTTTCTCCTTTTGACCAAAGCCAGACACTTTGGGATGAAAAAATAAGATAAACTATTTTTAATCTACAATAGCAAAAAATATACAAAAAAAGGTGAGAGCATGTCTTTTTTCTAGATTGGAAAGTGTTAATTCTAAAAATGTCTTAAGCAATAAATGCGCAATTTAATTTGTAGTAAAACCACAAATTAAAGAAATCGGAGTTCAAAAACAAAACATGTATATTCATACTTAATTAGGCAAAGCTTGTAAGGGTACCGTTGTGAAATTTTAATTTTATTTTGTAATGTTCCCTGATGAGCCCGTGTTGAGGAACTTCTAGACAATAATCAACTAGGTTGAGAAGCTCCACGGGAACCCCTTCTCTCTCCTGTTCAACAAAGACAAAGAGATCAGAGATTTTTTTTCAAGAAATCGAAATTTTAAAACAAAACTTAATTTAAAAAAATCAGCTGGCATTTTTTACTCCATATTTTGACTCCTCCGGGCTATGCATTTAACGCAATAAACCCACACCGATAATCTCCGAAACCCGTGAAAATTTCTAATATTTAAGAGTATTCTAAAACTAATTTTCAAAATGTTTTTTTTTCAACTCTGTACCTCTCTCGGTTATGGTCAATTTGGAGTTAAGCCCCTCCCCCTTTCTGATTAATCTTAGGAAACCAAAATCTTTTAAAATATAATTTAGATATTATCTGTTCCTTTTATTCAGTACACTTACCTTTCCGAGAAGAATGGCGCATTTCTGTGGGAACTTAAACCGGTTTAAAGGAACACTACGGGAAGCCTGTACAGTGTGCAGATCAAAATAAATAAAACATGTCGGAAAATTATCAATAAAAAATAAAACGAAGGTTTTAATTATGAAAAAATTTATTTATTTTGATTTCCTGTTCAATTGCGACTAAAGTCCACCCTTCTTTTTTCAGCGTTATCAAATATTCCGGTAGATTTGGTTCCGACACCTCTTCCAACGGAATCCATTGCTCCGCTGTCACGGATATTCCGGTAAAATCTTTGTCCTTCAGAGCTGCGGACGACGGAATTGTCATTGTTCCGACGCCAAATATTTCACAAGTTCGACAAAGTCCACCCAAATTTGGCATTCTAAAAAACTTTAAGCATTATATTCGGTGTTGAGACGGAGGGAGGAGGGCCAACCACAAAAATTCCTAGTCCGAGCCACATTCTCCTCATTTTCTCGTCCGGGCTACCTCAAAATCCTCGTCATTTGAAAATTTTTAAACAAGTGTCCAATCCTTGAAGATAAGAATATTTTTTTAATCTGTCCACACTCCACGGTAGTGAATAAACGAAATATTGAATTTTCTCTTACAAATTTTAAATTTGTGAAAAAATGTGGATCTTTTCAGCCAGGAATCATATCTTTTATTTTAAACGCTAATATTTAGCCACCAGACTTCTGAAAGGAACCCCCACCTTTCTCTGTCAGGAACTCCAAACTTTCTAAATATATTTTTTGTGAAACTTTTCAAGTTAAATTTTTTGACTGAAAACAGTTTCGGCTAGTTCCGTCTCCCTGCCATAAACTGTAATTTCTACTAATGTTAATGTTAATTATACATATCCATCTATACATGTATTTTATGGCTAAATATATAATTTGATTTGATTTGATTGATTTGAAATAATCTAAATCAAATAATATTTTCTCCGTGTGACAGGCAGAAGTGACTACGTACGAGAACAAAATTTGCCCTATTTGTAAATTTATCAGATATTAATGATTTTTTATATGGGTGGAAAGATTAAAGACCATGATTGAGTTATTACTTTGATATAATTTTTGAATTATGAAAATTAACCATTTTAGAGACAGAAGAGGTTAAAGTTTTAACCTAAATAAATTTTGACATCATCCTCCTGGATTTGAAGATTATCATTATAAAATCATTGCAAAACTTTAGTCTTGTCATGTTTTATGCCCTTACGTGGCCAGATTTTCAAAAAAAATATTCTCATCTTCAAGGATTGGACACATAAAGGACGAGGATTTCGAGATGGCTCAGATGAGAAAATGAGGAAAATGTGGCTCGAATTGTTGTTGTTGACCTTCCTCCCCTTTTGAGACATTTCATAGAATCTGATTTAAACTTTAAATATTATTTATATTTTTTGCTTTAAACTTATAATAAAATGTATATTGTATTTCATATTTTTCTTATTGTATATGTAAATGTATTATGCAATTTTATAAAAAATCTTTTTCTAATAAATCATACTTCTTAAAATTAGGAATGTTACCTATCTATGAAAATTTCTCTCCATTTATGAAATGTCCTATCAATGAATTTCTTTGGCTACGAATTGTCCTTTCTATGAAATGTCCAATCTAGGAATTGTTCTTTTGCTGAAATGTCCTGTCTATGAAATGTTATATCTATGATTTTGTTATTTTTAAAATGTCTATATATATGAGTATGAAATGTTATAAAAATTTAGATGAAATCAAATTGTTCAGAAGATTAGAGGGGGGGGGGGGAGTATATCCGTGTATATAACTGATACCTGTCTATTAACGATGCTATAACAATTAGATCTGGGTACTCACGTGATTTAGTCTTACTAAACAAAATCAATGAAAAAATCTAATTTTGCTTTTTTCAGATAATCAAAACTTTATCGGAATAATTATCATATAAAAATTATAAGAATAGAAGAATTCTTCATCGTCAGCCAGACGACGAGTTTATATAATTAATTTTGATTTGACCATTAGTGGGATTCAAAAGTTCAGTTATTTGATTCATTAATTTTGAGCAAATTTATTTTTTGAATTTTCCCTGAATCTCTGGGATTCATCACTGTCTGCCTCTACACTCATGGATTTCCACGGAGTTATTTTTCTAAAATGAATATTATTTGAGAATCTTTTGGTTTTAAATAAACTAAGTTAAAGGTACTGTAAGCGCAAAAGTGACCTTAACTGTATAGATGACAATGCCCGATTATCAACGGTACCCTTAAAACCTTTGTTAAATATCCATGTTTGAGTTCATTTTAACTGTTAAATTTTATTTGAGGGTTCTATGCAAAAGTTACTTAAAAGAAACAACGAAACTATTATTCGAGTCAAACACTTTTTGATAAAATTATCTTCCATATTTTCATCAGATTAAAATTTCAAGGATACCGTTGTAAATCGGGCATTTCTAATATTTGAACGTAGGGTCAATTGATATCCCTTTAATAGGACTTTAAACTGGAAAATTTAATTTGCAGAAAATGCTGGGATCCCATCCTAGTAATAGGAATTAACGGCTGAACCCATTAATCTAAACCAAAAATGCGCGAAATTTTTTTTACGGAAAATAAAAAGCTGATTTAAAAATCATCATTAATAGGCTAAAATAGAAAAATAGATAGATAGATACTACAGGGGATGTTAGTTCCAAACCTAACACTTGGCCCATTTCTAACACTGAGTGTTAAAACGGGCACACCAGCAAAGTTATCTTTTTCAAGAGTATATCACTGCAATCTAAACAGGAGGCAAAGGTCAAATTCAATTTACATTACTGTAATATGTTTGTGACTCTGTTGCTCCTTTAGTTCTGATTTCATGCAAAAGTGCAAATTTATTTGGTTACGTATTATAAATTCAAAACATTTTCTCATTAGCTCTTCAATAAAAAGAGTTATGATCAAAACTTTTTAAGATATCATAAGATAAGATATAAGTGCATTTTACTTTAGTTTGATGTGATATATATCTTTAAATCCAAGACAAGTAGAACAAAATTACACCATTCATTTATAAAAAATGGCTAAAATAATATATAGAAAAAATAATTGTCCATTTAAAACTAATAATAAGGTGTGAGAATTAGTTTTTGATGATTCTTGATTTCAGTTTTGAACATATCCCTATTTTGAAACAATTACCGGATTTCAGCTCAAGTAGTGTTTTCGAAACGTATCTTGATTTTGAGACAATTACCAGAATTCATATCAATATCAATTTTTAAGATTTTAAGCACTTACATTAGAAAACAAGATTATTTGATAAGTTAAAATATAAACGAAATAGAAAGTAAAAACAAACTGTTATTTTATAATTAAAAATCATTACAGCATTGAGAAATCAAAATATTAATATCATTTGTTCTTACAATATAGATATTACTAAAAATGCGAGAAACTGTTCGTTTAAAATGCTTGAAAATTAATCCTCGATATTCTCTAATTTAACAGATAAAATGTAAACTTTGATTCTAGAAATAATTCAGAAGTTGTCTTTATAAGATAATTTTTGTTTTTTGTCATTTATTTTGTAAGTTGTAAAAGTGAGTTTTGTTTTAAATTGCGGATTATACTCGAAAACAGGAAAGTGGGAGGAAAGTGGGTTTTGTCTCGAAAACGCAACTATGTCTCAAATTCAGGATATGTTAGTAAATGGAAAACCTGACATTGTCTTGAAAACGGTAAAGAGATTTAATATAAAAAGAACTCCTATTATAATTTTTATTCAAAAAAAATTTTTAATTTGGGAATTGTTGTCCTCGCCATGTTTAATAAAATGTTGGTTATAGTTTTTATAATCAACTTTTAGTCTGGATATAGGCCGGGATCCTAATAACCCAGTCTTTCAATTTGTGCCCGTTTCTAACACTCAGTGTTAGAAATGGGCCAAGTGCTAGTTTTGGAACTAATGTCCCCTGTAATAAGACTATTTTAATTTTGACTTGTTTGCACACACAAATAAACGGATAAGATGAAGTGAGATTACCGCTGAATGTTGTCGGCTGAAGGATGAATGACTGATGTTTCTCTAGGTACTAGTTTAGTAGGAGAACAATTTTCAAGGGTTGAGGATTCGTCCCCACTCCCAACCAAACCCTATAATTCAAAAGGAAAAAACTAAAATAAAATGTGTATTTGTTCCCTTTTTACAGTTTAAATTACAATGCATATTTTCAAACAAATCAAATCAAATCAAATCAAATCAAATCAAATCAAATCAAATCAAATCAAATCAAATAAAAATCAAATCAAATCAAATCAAATCAAATCAAATCAAATCAAATCAAATCAAATCAAATCAAATCAAATCAAGAAGCCAGGGATTGTTCATGTCCAATAGCTCTCTGATCTGATTGGGGTATGCCGTCACATCAAGGCTTTTCAGCCTGACATAGTTTAAGCCTCACGTCTGACTCAAGACCAAATTTGAGCCATGATATCGGTCTGAACTCATTCCCTCAGCTAATTACGAAAAATTTCCTCTTTTGAGTACATATGTATCCCTTATACATTCTGGGTTTTGCACGTGTTTTTTTTTAAATTGATATTCTTTGTACTATTTCCTGAGCTTCATTTAATATTCTTTGGTTAAAATGCTGATCCATTTTTCTGCGCCACCCCACTCATAGAACCTTATCTAGGTTCTACTCACGGCTGCTGTCTCATCTCCTCCAACCCTCCAGGATGGCACCACTATATGTCTTTAAATTGTGATCTTTGCATTGTCCATGTCTCTTGTCCTTTCTTGTGTCATATCTATAGTGGTGTTTATATTCCAGATAAATGCCAAGAAGATCCTAAAGGCCTTCCTGTGTTATTATCGTATTGATTCCTGGATTCCGGATTGTGGATCCATCTCTCTCTCGATCTCCTGGATACCGATCCTGAGCGTTCTCGTTCTCTTGCAGTCCAAGACAGACCAGGCGGTTCATCTAGTTCTTTCCTCCTTCTCTGTTCCTTTCCTAGACGTAGCTAGGCGACCCTCGCCTGGACGGAACTAGGAGGACCACTCAGACCGGAGCAGATATACAGATGTGTTACTTGCGTGGTGGCAGCGATATCGAATCCACCCCGAGAACAAACCCTCTTCCAGCTCCGTCATGTCCCTCAAACTCAAAGCTCCTGACAAACCTGGACCTTACTCGATTCAGCAAGGAACCGCAGACGAATAACCAACGCAGCTGCCACATATCCAGAGCACGCACGTCTTCTCCGTCTTAGAACAGGCGCAGACTATAACCAAGAACACTATGAAACTGATGTTCAGGCCCTCCTCCTTAGAAGAAATGCCCAACTCTCCAAGTTCATTCAACTGATATGCGTTGTCTGCCACTATACAGAATCTGATGACATTTACAACCTGTCCACTAGCAAATTGATGAGTTGCACCATATCCCTCAAACTGATGGTGCAGCATCAGCTGATGCCTCCTATTCATCAGCCGTAAACACTAATCTAGATTCTCCACCTCTCACAAAAGCTTCGTCAATGTCACAACTTTGGCAACATCCATTAATTTATGGTTCTGATGAAGACGATATCTTTGAGACTCACTACCTGGCCACGAGTCTGCCAGACATCACACTATTAGACACTTTCACGGATATAGACCACGAAGAATGGAATTGAATTTAAACTGTTAGGTTTGTAAATAAAATTATGGGATATCGTGCCATCCAACATTGAGCCAGAAAACTAAAAACAAAAACCATCAAAATTGAATTTGTGATTACAAAATTAGCGCACAAAATACATTCTTTCCCAAAACATGGGAAAAATTGCTAAAATATGCTCCTCTTACTTCAAAAACATTCTTACCAAGACAGTGAACAGTGATATAAGGAAATACTTTTTTAAATGGAATAATCTTCCTTCTAGAATAAAAGATGCAAGCTCTGTTAGTTTGAAACAAAGATTTGATGAATACTTCTTTAAAATTTAACCAAAAATTGCATAATTTGCATGTTTTTATTAAAATAACGACAGTAACTGAATTTATATGCTCATGTATATGAGATGGAGAATGGCAAAAAGAAAAAATCTAAATAAAAAAATTCAAAATTAAAGGATGAATAAAAATTTTTTAAAAAATGGACAAAGAAAAAAAGATAACACTTCTTATGCAGATTTATTATGTTAACCACTGTAGCTACGCCCCTTTATGGGTCCTTGGAATAATCCAAAAATTAAAAAATTTAAGAGAAACTCGATGAAAACCCGGTTTTGAAATCTAGGTTCTTTACCCTTCGTACAGAATACATGTTTGAATGGGATCTAGAACATTTTTATCAAGTATATCTTGGAATAATTTGAAGATTTATTTGGTTATATTAATCTTCCTTGAAAACCAGACATAAATTTGACCTGTATTGCATCAGTTTTCATTAAGGTTAAAACATTTCTAGATATCTTCTCTTCATCTCCTAAACATGTTTTATTGTTTCAATTCAAAATTCGGATATCTTAAATAATATTAGAATAACGTTATATAGAATATTTTTTATGATAAATATTTAAATTGTCAAGTATTTTAAGTTTTCAACATTTTTAAGTGATTTAAATTTATTCCGAGACAGATAAAAAAGTAAAAAAAGGTCAAGTAGGAAATAATCCGTTGAGGAATGATAAAGAACAACTTAATTATTAAGAGATCTAGAAATTGATCTATACCTCCCTAACCAGGTTTAGACCTACCTAACCAGGTTTAGACCTTCATATTCAGGTCTAAGCCTACCTAACCAGGGCTAGACCTACCTAACTAGGTCTAGACCTACCTAACCAAGTCTAAACCTCCCTAACCAGGTCTAAACCTACCTAACCAAGTATAAACCTACCTAACCAGGGCTAGACCTACCTAACCAGGGCTAGACCTACCTAACTAGGTCTAGACCTACCTAACCAAGTCTAAACCTCCCTAACCAGGTCTAAACCTACCTTACCAGGTCTAAACCTACCTAACCAAGTATAGACCTACCTAACCAGGTATAGACCTACCCAACCAGGTATAGACCTCCCTAAGCAGGTCTAAACCTATTTAACCAAATCTCTAAACCTACCCAAATAGGTCTAGAGTCTAAACCTACCTAACTAGGTCTAAATTTTAACCCTTCCTAAACAGGACTGAAGTCTTAACCTACCAAAATAGGTCTGAAGTCCTAAACTACCTATCCGGGTCTAGAGTCTAACCCTACCTAATCGGGTATAAACCTACCTAAACAGGTCTAAAGTCTGAACCTAGCTATAAATGTCTCGAGTCTAAACCTAGCTATAAATGTCTAACGTCCTACCTAAACAGGTCTAAAGTTTAAATTAAACCTACCTAGCCAGGTCTAGAGTCTGAACCAACCTAAACAGGTCTGAAGTCTAAACTTACCTAAACAGGTCTAAAGTCTAAACCTCCCTAACCAGGTCAAAAGTCTTAACCTCCCTAACCAGGTCTAAAATCTAAACCTATCTAGCCAGATCTTTAAGGGCAGTTTAAATTGCACCCTGCGACCGACGGGTGCCCCGACGCTCTAGCACCCTCGTGTCTAAACCTACCTCAACAGGTCTAAAGTCTAAACCTTCCTAACCAGGTCTAAAGTCTAAACCTACCTAAACAGGTCTAAAGTCTAAACCTTCCTATCCAGGTCTAGAGTCTAAGCCTACCTAACCAGGTCTAAAGTGTAAGCCTACCTAGCCCACAGAGGTTTGGGAAATGAAGAAATATATCTTGAAGTGTGAAGTGTTCCACAGGATCAAACCTAGATTAAGTATTTTAGTTAAACAATTAAATATTAATCATAAATGACAAATAATCAATTATTTTTATCATTAGCTATCCATCTTTTTGTTTCTTTACTTTCATTTGCGATTTCTCTGCGAAAGTGACTTGCGCATTTCTTGCTTATTATGTAGAAACCATGGAGTAACTTACAGAAATAGATACTTTTCGAATCATTAAAACGACGTTAACTTCAAAACATTTTGATCAGTTTCAGGGGTACCGTTGTAAATCGGGCATCGGCATTATTGCCTGGAGGGTCACTTGAAATTACGCTTACACTCCCTTTAAAGCATTATAAACGATTCAAGATGTGTACATTTATACCCTTATATCGAGATCAATGATTTATGTTTCTATGTTATTAAAATTTTTAATTTGTATGCAAAAAAAATCAACTTTCGCTATCTTTGCTTCTCTACGAAAGCGACTGGTAGATATATATGGATATTGCAGATAGCAATATGTCACATGATTTGAAGCCATTTAACTAATAAAAGTATCATTATTAATTATCCCTTGCGACAAAAACTTCAAAATACTCTAATTACCTGGCCAGATAGAAATCCTCAGCCAAATTCTTGGTAGATTTGTCACTAGCGTATAAACTGCGACTAAAACCAAAATGTGAATTAAAAAATTTAGCATAAAGGGTTATTTATTTAGTTGTCCCAACCATATTCATAATTTATATAATAATAATGATTATAATAATAGACACTGACAAAACGTTTCTTCTCTCCTCAGTAAATTATTTCTTTTGTGATTCAGAATCAATTTCACTCTTAAATCATACTGCACTAAATTTGATAATAATTAGCACATACCATTGGTAAACAAATTTAATCATGTAATTTTATATCTAATATATTGCCCTTGTAGCAACAGAAGATTAAAAAAACGTTGAGCACAATTTTTTTATGACAGTAATTTAAATCAAACTAAATACCTGAGGCACTGGTTGAGCACGTGGTATTTCTGGAGTATTTCCGGGAACTCAGAACAGCAGTCCCAAATTTTACGGAAACTTAGCTGTGCTACAACCCTAGTGATGGATATGTTATTTTTTTCTTTAACAAACTTTAGAGTCCATTTTTAAATAATTTTAATACTATCATTTACAAATTCAATCACTAACTGCTGCTACCTGATCCTAAACGATTCTACCTGATCCCAAAAAGATGCTACCTGATCCCGAACAGATGCTTCCTGATCCCAAACAGATGCTACCACCTGAACCCAACAAATGCTACCTGATCCCAAACAGATGTTACCTAATCCCAACAAATGCTTCCTGATCCCAACAAATGCTTCCTGTGTGCAAACAAATGCTTCCTGATACCAAACAAATGCTTCATGATATCAAATAATGCTACCCGATACCAAACAAATGCTCCTTGATATCCAACAATGCTACCTGATCCCAAAAAAATGCTAAACAATACCAAACAAATGCTTCCTGATACCAAACAAATGCTTCATGATATCAAATAATGCTACCCGATACCAAAAAAATGCTACTTGATATCCAACAATGCTACCTGATCCCAAAAAAATGCTAAACAATACCAAACAAATGCTACCTGATCCCAAACAAATGCTACCTGATACCAAACAAATTTTACCTGATCCGGAACAAATGCTATGGATGATAACAAATCCCAAACTTATGCTAACTTATCCTAAAATCATTCTAACTTTACCCAAATAATGCTTAACTGAGACCAAACAAATGCTTCCCGATCCCAAACTGATGCTACTAAGTACAAAACAATTTTTAATTGATTTCGAACATACAATCTCTGCCAATACCTGATTCCAAACTGCTGTGCCATACTCCAAGGACTGATTTCTACCAACGCCTTCTCCAGATAGCTAGGACGGTCAGGCAGGCGGGCGTGCTGACACACACCGCAGATAACACTAATAAAACTAGGAACAGCACCAATACGTAAACTGCTGGCCTTTTCTACAGTTCACACGAATTGATGCTTTTCCAATGCTAAAATTATGAAAATATATAGTTTTTGACTAAACTGCATATCATTAGCCTTGCCTATTTTTAAAAATCAAACAACTTTTTTTAAATTACTGGTTTTCAAACACGTTTTTAACAAAAAGCATTTAAAACTCATTAATAACCAAAATCTTATTTTTAGCAGCAATTTTTTTCCTAACCAGTCCCACAAAGAGTTTTCTAGCCCTGAAGGTATTCTGTTGGATCTAGAACTCAAATCAAGGCTAGATTTGATCAAAGTGACTGCACTCCATTCCGTCAAATACCTAGGACGGAAAACAGTTTCAAGAAGGACTAGTGTTTAGATTGAATTTATATTTTTTAACTTATCAATTATTTTCGATTAAAATTCAGATTTTTCAGAATTATTTCTTTTTAGGGTGGAATGTTTCAATTTTTAATTTAATTTTTTTTCATCTGCTTCATGATATATTGTCTTCTATACATGTGTAAAAGTTGTAGTACACCAAGGAAGTGTTCATATTTTTATTAGTTGGAAAAAAGTGAAAATCTGACAGAATTATTTTTTGTATTCGTTATCCTACCAACTACAAAACCTGTGGCCGAATTTAAAAAATTTGAGCGGCGGTTTAAATTTAATAAATTTAATCCGCGGCTTAAATATGGTTGGTTCCACTTAAAATTGTATCAAATGTTTGAAGATTTAAGCCAGCGCTTAATTTAAACCGTGTTTTGCCAGATTTAAACCGCGGCTCAAATTCTTTAAATTCCATCTCCGATAAGAAAAATCCAAGCTATTTACAAATTCTTAAACTGTTTCCTGCCTTACACTGGTCTGCTCAGTGTGCTCCAGGAGCTGTTCCAGTAATATGTTCAGCAGTTCAACCTTGAACGTTTCATCTAATATGTTTTTCATAACAGTTTAAATTTAAAAACTCTGGTATCTTTTAATTTTAAAAATTTCTTAGGAATTAACAGTATTGATAAAAATAACATTCCTATAAGTGGATGAGCACCAACAACACTGCTTACAAGCAACAGAGCTTGCATCATTCTGTTCCTTAGCTTATGGACCTCAGAGTTCTCAAAGTGACGTATCCTACCCTTCGAAACTTCTAGCTGCAAGTCTGCAGTTGATTTAAGGAAGTCAAGTATGATGCTCTTTGCTGATGTGGAGTTCTGATGAATAAGGGACAATAGGATATTGATGGATTTGATTCTAACAGTTTGACAAAGTTCATGATCACTTCCCTCAACTAGATTGACACTGAGTAGGCTTCCTTCCTCAGAAATGATTCTATTGGTGTCCGTCACAATCATCTGATCTCGTCTAAAAGTAGGACCAAATACTACTCCACGAGCTAATATTGGTATCACCCCTTCATACATAAGATGATGATCATCAACATAAAGAAGTCCCTTCTGAAACTGCTTGTCTAACATCAAGATCAAAGATCCCATGACTCCAGGAGCACTGCTGTCCCTGGCAGTAGTATTAAGAATTCTCAGCATTTCTACTGGATTATATTTAATGTTGGAGAAAATTAGGGCTAGTGATGTTTGAAGCACTGGCCAAAACATATCATTCTTCCTTAACTCTAACAGAACTGTTTCAGTTTGATTGATTAAGGATAGGGCAGATATATCAAGTAGATTAGCCAAGTCTATTGCAGGTTCAGCACACTTACTACCACAAGACTCCAGAGTTTGTTCAAGATAATTCATTATCGATTCCCTGATTTCTTGAGTGAAAACTGAAGGGTTGCTGACTATGCAAAGCTTGATCAGCTCCATCTGGTTATTGGTGAACTCATACATATACTCTCCAGATATCTTCTGAGATTCCCTGTTTGATACAGAATGGTCAAAAGTTAGCTGAATAGGTATGCTTGTCAATACACTTCTGATAACAATAGTTGTCAAATTTGTGAAGCTATTAAGAATAGCTAAACAGACTTTTAGTGATATGGCCCTGGCTACAGAGGAAGCTTTTGAGTTGATCAGTTCTTTTAGATTTTGTTCAAGTATGTCCTCAGCTTTACTTTGATCGATCGGAACAATTGACAGTACATCACAATAGACATCTGCTATTCCAATATTTTCTAGATCTTGACTTAGTTTCAAAATACCCAAAGAAGTAAGAATACTTTCCAGATTATCATTTTTCTGCAGCAGATATGAAACCATTTCTGATAAATGATTAGAACTCGGTTTACTTTCATAATATTTCAAGAAGTCCCTTCCATTTCTCCTCTCTGGGGCAATGAGTAGTTCCATCAATGACTTAAAGAAAACAATTCTAAATCTGGATGCTTCCTCCAAGTTTAGATTGACCCGTTCTGCTGCATAAGGCCTATTGGTTATTAAGGCGTTTGAAAAGAGAGATTGATATAACATTCCAATTGTAGTAAAAAGATCTGATGGTGAGCCAGAAAACATTATGAGAAAAGGAAGCAGGGTCTTTTGGACAGATTTCATAAGTAAATGCACAGGAGTAAGGACTGAATCTTTCAAGTTTCTAAGTTCAGCTAGTGTTTCCTCCACAATCCGATTTGCATCTTCACCATACATATTAAATAGGACAATTTGAAATGCATTCCTTGAGAAAGCGTCCACAGTAATAATCTTATTTCTCCAAAATGTGAATAGGAAGGTTTCTAACACTGGTTTTGAAATACTTTCCAGCTTTTGACAAACAAAGCTAAGTAGGTTGTGCTGGGCTGCTCCTCTTAGCAAAGGCTCTTGGTAGACCATATGTAGTTCTACAAGATCAAGAAGACTGAGAACACTGGTCTCTGTAAGAATGTTTCCACATTGAATTTGTGGAAGAACACTAGAAATCCAGTACAAGGGTAGTGGACCCCAGGAAACCTTAGAGATTCCTTGAACAAAGCTTCCAATAATTAATTCCTCTTCTGTTTTATACTTTATTACTAACTGGTTGATGTAGCCTGTGACCAGATCTCTGATGGTTTGCCCATAGTGTACATCTCCTTCTTTTGTATATAGCTTACTATCATTCAAACACTAAGGGGAAAAAAGGTCAACATTTTCAGAACATAAATTTTTAGATTTTTTTTTGTAAAAACGATTGTTTTGTTTTAATGTCAACCTTTAACCTGCAGTAAATCAGTTGTCAAAAAGCTTTGAATATCTCCAGCATAATTTTCAGCTTGGGTATTGAAGGTGAAGAGAAAGTTTTCCAATCCCCATTTCACAACAGTGATGTGTTGGTGGGTGAAAAACCTGCAGTAAACTATGAATACCCAAGAAGCATGGAATCTGACCAGCCCAGGGAGTTTATTCATGACCTGCTGCACTATATGAACCTGCTTTTCCTCCAGAGTTTCAAGAATTAAGAAATACTCTTCCCAGTCCTTGGTTTCCATGTCACCAAGAATCCCTTGGGCATGAGAGTTAACTGTTGGCGACTTTGTGTCTGTGTACCGTTTCATAAGGAATAGGGCACGCTTACGGGTTAAGCTACATTGATGGGTCAGCCCTATCTGAATTAGCTTCCAGAATCCGGCAGAGTTGATAATTTCAAAGTTTTCTGAACAAAAATAAAAAAATAATCCTATTTGAACATGATGCAATTACTTTATACCTTGAAATAACTGTTCACTGAGAGCACACACCAAATGAAGAAGAAATATAGGATCAGAACCATTCAATCCAAGCGTTTCTGGAGTATGGAGTAGTGACTCCAAGAAAGTGGCACAGAAGGTTTGCGAGTGAATATCCAGAAACTGAAGAATTCTAAAATTTGTGAAATGTAAGATCAAAAGCAACAAAATGTTAGATTAATGTGTTCACTAATTCATATCATAACATTGTAAAACAAGAGATTAATTTTTGTAATATATTTGATCTTTACCTTTTAATAGTTGTGACATGTTTCTGCCGTGATTCATCCTTAAGACACTTAAAAGCAAGTGCTTCTAAATTGTCAATCAAACCTGAATGTATTCTAGATAAACTTAAGGACAAAAAAAAATAAGAAATTGCGAATTAAAGAATAACAAAAAATGTAGTTTAAAGCTTAATCTATAATTTAAATTGGAATCAGGGGCTGTATATTGTTTATAACCCCCCCCCCCCCCGAAACTGAGGTGAAAATAAAAAAAATAGCCTGAACCTTTGGTTATGTATTTTAATGAAGCATTAAGTTAAAGTCAATTATTTTTCATGTCATTGGTTCAATTATAACATTTTAGACAAAAATTAATATTAAACGGTAGGGACTTACACCCTCCCCCTTTCATAGGCAAGAAAGAAGCCATTTATTTCTAATGTACTGTGTGTTGGGGTGGGGGGGGATTTTTGTTTAAGATTTTGTTTAGAATTAAGTTTTTGTGTTAATTTAAAGAAATACAATCCTTGAGTTGGAATATTTCCCTCGATCGAGTTTATCATCAGCTCCAGCTCCACCGCTCCATCCATTCTCTCCACTTCTCCCTCCATTCTCTACACTTCTCTATCCAATCCTCTTAATATATCCATCAATTCTCCCTTCTTCGTTTACTACTTCCATTAGCGAACCAAAAATTAACATTATTGAAACATTTAGAAAAAGACGAATCAGACTTGTAATAAAAACATGGAAAAGTAACTTCAGAACTTTTTTTAAAAGAGATTTTTTTGTTCCCAGGACATAATTGATCGGGTTGTTACGCTCAAATCTCGGAATTTTTCTATTGCGAAAATTTGGTGTTGTCTGGGTTTATATTGATCTACCAGGGGTTGTAATCTGGCAGCACATTCATCCATCCACACTTCATTCAAATTAGGTTGACACTTTCAGAACATTTGTATTTGATTTATCAAAACTTTTGTATTAACTTTCATGGGAGTAAAAACCCCGGGTTTGCCAGGAAATCTAAACTTTCCCGACATAAGTCAACCCTTTCAATTCAAATTCAAAATATTTCTCAGATTCTACCGAATTGAGGCAAATTGGTCAAGAGGTTAATGAGTTATGATCAGAAATCCAAACCGAGATTACTTTGATTATCGAAAACCCCTTGAAACGACTTTATTTTCATTCATTTCTTTATTATTCCAACTTCACTTCTCTTGAACTAGATTAGATACTATTACTAAAAGAAAATAGTGACTAAGACTCAGTCCTTAAGATGGACAGAACAATAGATCTCGATTAACACTGCTATGATATAACTTAATTTTAATTATTTATTTAAAATTCCAACTTAACTTCTTTTGTAGCGTTAACAATTAGGAATAAAAGTAATTTTTCAAAATATGTTAATTTTTACCTAAATTTACATTCACCATATTCACGTAAGGGGTACGTGTATATTCAGAAGGAATTACGAACCGAAGATTTGGGACAGAAAATGAAAATTTGGACATAATTACCACTTTTGATACTTTTTACCCAAAAGCGCAAATATTTGTTATAAATAAGCAAAACAAAACTCAAATTTCTTGGAACTCCGCTTTACCTTTTATTTAAGTAGTTATTCCTTTAGTGCAACATTTTAGCCTGAAAATCAATGTAATCTTTAATCCGAAAATTACAAAATAACTCGTACAATTTTAGTTAAACAATTTAGATGTTAAAATAGTTGAAAATAAAATATTTATTAACTTTTCTCCTCACAACAGTTTTAAAGGATACATATATAAATAGAACTATAAATTTTTTATATTAAGGCTGATCAAAAGATATAAAAATAATATATACTTTAGTGAAAAATTAAAAATTTAGAATTATGTATAATATACAATACATTCATAGTATGGACATTGTTCAGCGCACAGGAATGCGCCAAACTAGTATATACTACTAGTATACGCAATACGCATAATTTAAGGAATGAAATAATTTAAAAAAAATATTTTACAATACCAAAGTTAGCAACTTTTGAATTGAAGAAACTAATCAACTTACTTTAATCTTATTACGTTAGAAAATCCTTTGCCTTGGAGATTTCTAATGAGAGATGAAAACTCTTAATCTTGTTTATTTTAGCTGCGTCTATTCAAAAGTTTATAGCTCTGAAATCACAATAAATTGTGAAGCTCTGTTTATTTTCATACATATTTGTATTATATCAAACCTGAAAATAATTTCAGGAGAGAAAAATAATGCCATTTAATTTTTTATAGATATTATCTTTATCATTGAAATGCCTAAATCTGGCGTAGAAATACATTACTTCAATAAATCAATCAATCAACAGTACATTCATTCACTCGAGATTTAGATGTGTAGGCAGGGTTCTTTAAGATCCATTTTCATGATCCCATGTGATCCCTAATCCTTCTTGTCGTGATCCACTTCAGATATGTCACTTTCATCGTCCGAATACGATCCCTTGAAGGAAATTAATTGTTATGCCATGTTTAATGTTGATAGGTATTATCAGGAAGACCCGGAAAACTTGACAGCTAAATCAGGCGACCTTTCATTTATATCTCTGGCAATTTCAAATGCTCAAAAAAGACAGCCCGCAGGACCAGGGCTATTTTGTGATTATCGTTTCATCAATTTCATTTGTAACATTAGATTTAAGGGCAAATGATTCATTGTAAATTAATTTCGGGTATATCTGATTAGGACTTTAATTTTTTGATTTGTTAAATAATGGCTCATGGAACATATATTGAGAGTAAATGATATAATAATAATATCCAATTGCAGGACCTTTGATAAAAAAATGGCTTCTAAGAATGGTGCACAGGTACTTTTAACCACATATCAAGTTTTTTAATTAAGAAGATAAAGATTATCGTATGAAAAATAGAAAAAATACGAAAAATCTAACATTTTAAAAAATAGAGGAAAGAAACAAATTCTATTTTATTTTACTCACTTTTATTTCTCCGGGTTTGAGAAGTCGTCCAACATAATCATATTTCTCATTAAACTGCAGCTCCCACTCCTTCACCTTAACACAGATCAAATCAAGTGTCTAAATTCATTAACATTTTAAATCAATAAGGCATGCTTCAATGTAGAAGAATGAACTAGGAAGAGATTGTGTTCATATTCTATTTGGACGTAATTGTTTACAATAGTTTAAATTTTTATAAAACTTAAAAACCAATTCGATTTTTTCTAATATATCACAGCCTTAACTAATCTTATTGCTGTCTTCTTAGCTAAAACCTCATCGGCCTACACAATCTTTGTCTAAGAATCCTGATAAAATCTCTCCTGACTTAAATCCTCATTGGCTTACACAATCCTTGTCCTCATTTCTTCATTTCACCATTTCAGCATTTCACCATTTCATCATTACTTCATTCCTTCATGTCTTCATGTCTTCATGTCTTCATGTCTTCATGTCTTCATGTCTTCATGCCTTCAGGTCTTCAGGTCTTCAGGTCTTCATTTCTTTTTTTCTTTATTTCTTTATTTCACCATTTCTCCATTTCTGTCTTTCTACCTTATCCTTATTTCCACATTTCCACATTTCTACATTTCCACATTTCCACATTTCCACATTTCCACATTTCCACATTTCCACATTTCCACATTTCCACATTTCCACATTTCTACATTTCTACATTTCTACATTTCTACATTTCTACATTTCTACATTTCTACATTTCTACATTTCTACATTTCTACATTTCTACATTTCTACATTTCTACATTTCTACATTTCTACATTTCTACATTTCTACATTTCTACATTTCTACATTTCTACATTTCTACATTTCTACATTTCTACATTTCTACATTTCTACATTTCTACATTTCTACATTTCTACATTTCTACATTTCTACATTTCTACATTTCTACATTTCTACATTTCTACATTTCTACATTTTTACATTTCTACATTTCTCCACTACTCCATTTCTCCGTTTCTCTATTTCTTTTTTACCTGCTCTAGTTCACTGGGCTTTAGATCAGAAAGATCATCATAATCGTCAGATACTGGTTCAACACTAAATGACAAGACTTTATAATCAAGATTTTTCAAATAAATAAAGAATTATCACAACTAGACTTCAAGGGAGCATCTTGATTTTAGATTTTAATTGTTGCCAATTTATCGAAGTTTTCGTTGATTTTTAAAAATTTAAATTTTCTAAGGCACATTTTTTTAATTCAAATCATCAAAGATTTAATACCTTCCGTGGTCCCCCCCCCCAAATAAATTTTTTTGACGTTAATCGGTTGGAAACAAGATTAACAAGCATTAGCAAAGTATAACAATAGATGATTAGATACACTTACCGGCGAAATATTAAAAACTAAAAATTTTAACCCTCAGCATTGATTAATTAAAAAAGAGTAGGATATTTTCTAAATAAACATTCTAAGTCAAAGAGAAGAATGTTCCGAACCGTGTTTATGTTCAAACCCTGACACTGAGGTCTGGGCCAAATCACGGTTTGGAAGTACCGTTTCATTTAATAATTAAAATAGAAGATCGAATATGATAAACAATAAACATAAATCAGAGCTGGGAACTTCTGAATGGCGGATTTCGTGATTAATGCTTAATCCACTCTTTTTCTTAATCTTGAGATTAAATAATGCTTGTTCTCCTCCTGTTATTAATATCCAGATTAGTTAATTCTACAGTTTTGAGCTCAGTGCATAAAAGACTAAACTAATTCAAGGAATATGGAAAAATTAAAAGTATCCGACAAGTAGAAAAGCTTCAATTTCATTTTCCTGCTTTAGAAAACTGAAATGACTCTTTTAAATTATAAAATCACTCCCGAACTCCAACTCTAAAAACTAACTGCACCCCCCCCCCCCATAAATCAAAAGTGTAATTATTATGTTTATTTAAGTTTTATATTTATGCTCTTATCACTAAAGCTTTTGCTCGCTGAGCCCCTGAGCCACCACAAAAAATTAAATTTATAATTATTATTATTTCTTGTTTAATACTTATCCTTTGTGCTTGTTATATTAAAAAGTAAAATTCACCTGAAGGTAGCTAGGCCCCTGGAAGCGTCCCTACCCGCGAAGCCCGAGTAAGGCCCCCCTGGTCCATAAAATCTACGGCCCTGAAACAATTAATAATCAAAACTGGCCCCCGGCCCTGTCCTAGCAATATATTGTTTAAAATCAGAAAGAAGAAGTGTTATAATAATGCTAAATTACTCAGCTTGAAGTAAAGCTTTTCGCAGAATTTTCTCTTTTTCTTAAAGAACTTTCTCAAATTAAAAAATAACATTTTTCTTGAAGTGCCTTTAATCCAACCAGTGTAGCCATAAACCCTATTATCTTGTAAGGTCCAATGAGACATGTTTATACCCAATTGATTCAGCATTTCAAGACAGTTAAAGGACTAAAAACAAAAAATGTTTAAAAGATTACCCTGGTAACATCAAATATTTTTCCATTAACAGCGACACAAACTCGGCCCTTTCCTCCATTGTCACTGCCATCATACTCACGCAGCTGTTTCAAATCCATATCCTACACCACAGCAAATCAGTATAAAATCATAAATATATCTTAATCACTGAAATAAATAATCAAGTTAGGGGGAAACGGACAGCGCCAGGGGTTAATATAGGATTAAGAATGAAGATTGCAATGAAAAGTATTCCTTTATCAATTATTTCTAAATTCTGCCACACATGGAGTCCAAGTTCACAAATTCTGATAGAATTGGTAACTTTGCTCTTAAAATCTTCCACAATTACAATTCAAAAGAATTAAAAAAGTTACCGTCTGATGTCTCATTTCCCCCCCCCCCCCCCCCCCCAAAAAAAAAAAAACCAATCATCCCCCCCCCCCCAGGGGGGAGGGGGGGTGAAATTCTGAAAAATATACACCCCTGTGTAACATATGACTGTGACGCATTAGTTCTGCTGGGGTTTTGTTATATCTAAACCATAAAAAATATTGTAAAAATAGGTCAGAACTTTCCCTAGCAGGCCAGGCTTGTTAACCAACGGTGTTGATTTACCTTAAACCAGTTCCTGAGAAGTCGTACATTCTAATATTTGGTAAGGTAACATTTGTTTTTTTATAATAAAAAATCCTTTTTATCCAAACCTGTTTTTTTAGAGGAGGTAGGTCTCTCTCTGGTTCAGCTGGTCTAGGTTCCTTTGTGGGGCTTAAAATCTAAAAAATTAGAATAAAATAGGTTTACTAAAGACAGGGAAAATATTTTGGCTGAAAAAGTAGTCAAAAACATCGAACATATGATTATAAAGGTTCTTTTTTAGCTCACCCCCCCCCCCCATACACAAACACCTCTACCTCACCGAAATTTTAAATGTCGACTTATTTTTGTCTGTTTTCCACTCACCTTGTAAATGAGAAAGAAGATTGCAGCGACGAGAGCAATATTTAACCAGGAGGAGAATACCTCATCCCACATCATCCTTGATATTATAAATAGAACAATAATAAAACAGGATATATCATCCCACGTCATCCTAGATATTATAAATAGAACAATATTAAACCAGGATATATCATCCCACATCATCCTAGATATTATAAATAGAACAATATTTAACCAGGATATATCATCCCACATCATCCTAGATATTATAAATAGAACAATATTAAACCAGGATACATCATCTCACATCATCCTAGATATTATAAATAGAACAATATTAAACCAGGATATATCATCCCACGTCATCCTAGATCTATATATAAATATAGCTCGAGTGTCTGGGTGTTTGTATCCAATAAACGTCAAAACGGCTGAACCGATCGGGCCCAAATTATGTGTGGAACCTCACTTGACCCCAGGGAAGGTTTATGAATGATCAAAATTAAAAAAAATTGTGTTAAAAGAGTGTTATTTTTGTAAAATTATGAAAATGCGCGAACAAATATCATGAAATACGCAATTTTTTTTTTGGTTTATATACTGTACAAAGAGAAGATAAAGCCACAATTAAAAGTTGAAATAGAAGATGGGAGCAGCCTAGTATTATAAATAGAGCAATATTAAGATAGGATATCAGCTTATATCATCTAAACATTATAAATCTAGTCCTGATTTTCAGGTTTTAAAATTCTTATCTTCAGGTTTTAAAATTCTTATCTTCAGGTTTTAAAATTAATGTGCAATTGCTTTTTTTCGTAAAATCTCACTTGGACTGCAGTGTTGTCATAATTAGTTACAGAGCAATGAAAACAGTACGACACTCTAACTACGAAATAAACCTGCTTATATGGCAGCAAAAGTTAGATGGCTGCCAAACAGCGATAAAAAATCTCTTTTATTCGACAAAAATCGCTTGTTTAGCCGTCATCCAATTGTTGCGATATGTTGTCACTTATTTTACAGTCATCCAACTTTTACGGTCATGTCTGCTAAAGAAGCAATTTTTCATTTTTGTAATTTAGAGTGTTAGGGCTGAGGAGGATATTGTTATTTTTTTTTTACATTGAATCGACTTCTCTACGTTAAGAAAGATTGTATGAACTCCGGACGCGCTCTGTTGTGAATGTCGTCAGAGGTGTAATTTTTCAGAATTACCCCAACCATTTATGTTTCCAAATTCAGCGAATGAGGGGAGGGGGAAACTGATTTTTTGGAACAAATATACATTATATTCAATATTTCAACAGCTGTAGACAGGGGTGTGTATTTTCTCAAAAACTTTTCCCCCCAGAATTTATGCAGGTTTGCGCTGAATTGTGGAAAACGAATAATTTTCAGGGGAAAATTGAAACATTTTTGCGGGAAAAGTACAAAAGATTTGAATCTGAACCATGACGTTAATTTTCAACTATTATACAATGAAACACATAAAAACTGTGGAATAGGAAGATGACTGTTAAACTCGAGTAATGGTTTTTAGTAGTCTTTTAGTTTGGTGTACACAAACACATTTCACTTTCAAAATAAATTTTCAAGCTTAGATAGTAAAACTATTTACCTAAGACAATTAAAAATACAACTAAGAGTGCACTGAGCCATGGTTAATGAAATATACTGGATAAAATGTCTTCGTTCTAAAACAGCTTAATTTGTTAATCTCTCTCTGTACCTGACTAGGCTTTCTTCTGTACTAGTTAACATTGGATCCTCATCGAGCGACATTTTTTATCTGAAATTATTCAAACATGCAGCAAACTATAATAGAAACCTGTAGAAAAATGTTCACAAGTTTATCTGATTTATGTGAAAAATCAAATGAAAATAAGAATAATTTAATTGTTTGTTATATCAACGAATGTATTTTGATTAGAATGGAAAAGGTTAAGGCAAATAACTTTAAGGTAGATTTCTTTAATTTATCATTTACTTCCGAGTGCAGACCTTGAAGGTAAAATTGGACAATTGGAAAAACCAAAAATATTCAAATATTTTATCACATGAAATCACACTTCCAAATAAAACATCTCGTGAATTATATTTTGAATGATTGAACTATGAAAAATCCAGAAAAAAAATTTAAAAGTAAAAAATTGGCTTTTGTTTCAATTTTGTCAAAAGTCAAATATTTTCAAGGCAATTTTACACCATTACTTGAAGAAACTAAATTTTCAAGGAAATTTAAATTAAAAATCTTCAAGCTTCCACAACTTAAAAGAATATCTTAGATCAATAGACTTCTTCAAAAAAAGGGTTGATTTTAAAAAAAACCAATGATAAATCTAACGTTCACAACACTATTATTCTGAACTAAAACAAGAAAATATAATGATAAATTGTTTTCGGGGCGGATTTTGTTGAAAGCAAAGTAAGAGATTTTTAGAGATTCAACCTCCAATCACATTTTTGTTAGTAGAAAAATATAAGGAGTATTTGTTAAGAATTAAATCCATACAAAAACTTTTAAAAACTTCTCGTCAAAGTATTGATGTTAAATGCAGAAAATAGAAGTTCAAACATGACAGAGCTTTAAATGCAACTGTGATATGTTTTATTATCACATTTTTAGAAATGCACTTGTTATCTTTGCCAAGCAACTTTACTACTGAGGCAAAACAATCGATTTAATAAATTAACAATTAAATTGTTAAATATGATATCTTGTTTTTGTGACATGCTTTTTTTAATCTTTTCGAGAACGTAAAAAGTTGTTCGCATTAAAGCCATGCTGAATTTTAAAATATAAAAAGGGAAACTTAATTATTTTTTGTTGTTATTAAGAACACAAATTTTAAAATGAAATCTATTTTTTAATTCAGGAATTAATGAACTATTTAAACGTTGGATATTTAATTGATTGAGACACTGGCTTTAGCCTGTTACTATGGGAAACTAATAAAAACAACTGTTAAGTTTTGCTGAGTCAGTAGCTCACTGATCAATGTACAATATATCAAGAGATTGTAGAAGGTTATTGTGTACAATGAAATGTTGTGTTCACTATCCACATATTCAGTGACCTTAAGAGTGTGCATTGAACAGTGCACTATTTTTCTCAATTGGGTTATTATTTACATTAAACCTTTCATAAGACCCCCCCAAACCACCCCAACTTGGTTTAGCGATCATTCACCGTACATTTGTTCATGATCGTTGTTAAATATGTTGGTACACAGTAAATATATACAATACATGATGTAGTTCATGAGGATTGTTTTAACTGGTTTTGAGAACTCAAGCCACTCCCTTCCAAGAACTCTAAGAACTTCAAGAATTTCTAGTTTTCCACTGTGTTGGTGTAGGTTGGAGTTTCAAGTTCCTCTCTTCTTGTCATCTTACCTCCCTTAACAGTCAAAATATATTTAAACTAGTCTTTTAGGACGCCTCAAACCCATTTCCTATTAATAGTTTTTATCCTTGAATTTTGAAAGTCGCCATTTTTAATCGTTTTCAAATTTTCGTGGATTTCTCTGTTAAAAATGGTGCTTTCTCAAAAATGGTAAATTTAGAAATTTTTGCTGTGCAAAATTGTTCAACTTCGACCAGCAATACAGCTACGTACCCTGTCCGTCATGTAGGTTGCCACAGAAAATTTGGGTCTCATTGGTTCAGCCATTTTTAACGTTTATTGGATACAAACAAACAAAGTAAATATAGAAGGAGTGTTCATGCCTTAAAAATGGCCCACTTTAATCGGCTTTAATTAACTAAAATTCGATATATTTTAAGAAAAAAAAATATAAGGGTTTGATGCCTAACATTCTATTTTTCATGCTGTGCGTTTTATATAAGTACAATAAATGATTTTTAAAATCTAACCTTCGGGCAAATATGTGAAATTGAAATTGTGGCTTATCAAACTTTTAAAATAATTTTTTACTAAAAATAAAAACAAAAATATTTTCCCGGCAAAAAAATGTATGTAACCAAACATCAAATTAAGTGGAAAAAATTCATAGTTTTTTTCTAAGGGTGTAATGATTTTTTGAAGAATATATACTCCTGAAACTTAACCTGCTGTGTTTTAGTTTGATATCATACCATTCTTTCAATATTTTTTTATCCTACGAGATATTACCTGCTGCATTTTATAATGAGATATTATATCCTGGTCTGCTGGACAGGAAGTGGTAAATGCATCTAGGTTGTACATACATCCCATATACCTGGACAGTGGACATCAGTATATAACAGCGGTGTACACAAATAGACATGGACAGTGTACATAAATTTTACCGTGTATATACCGGTAAACAAATTTTACAGTTTTTAGGCGCAGTCAAATAAACATTTAAGTGGACATAATATGAAGTACTTTAAGTGCTTTAAAATTCGGAGTAGAGTGGATTGACTTCAACAGGGAAAGTTTGATTACCAGGCAGAACTAGGTTTCTATAATTTTTGATTGAAAACCCCTTTTAACGGTTTTATTAGGACTTAATATTTTATGATGATTTTTTATCTAACATTTTAATTTTGATACATATTGAAAGGGGAAAAAAACATTTCTACAGAGAGAACACATACATACGTAGGGTCGGTTACACAACATCCATCGGGGTTTCACTAGTTGGAACCCCGCATTGTCCGGTCTGCAGCCCTGGCTGCTGCAGTCGGATCAAGATGTACCTTGCAGCGTAGGACTGCATCCAACTCTTGGTGTTGAAAAATAGTTCAGTTTTACACAGTGCTTAGAATCTGGATTAGTTGAATCTGCAAGATTTTGGCTTCCTGGCTCATGATCTTCCGAAATATGCGGATCCCCGGCGCAAAATATAAACCATATGAAGTATAGAAAATATCTTTCTGTGCATTTTAGACCCAAGACGAAACCAGACATAAGATCAAAATTCCAAGACGCAAGACCAAATCAAGACCGCGCACAGAAGACCGAAGAAAATGGAAGAAAAAAGACCAAGAACGAAGCAAAAAAATTACTTGCTAAGAACAAAACCGAGCCCCATGTACGAAGAAGCAAGACGCAGACGATTTAAATTCCATAATTGTTAACCAAGGTCTATATTTTTCATAATTAGGCAAATTGTTTCGTGGTATATGGGAATTTCCGAACCAATTTGAGGTTTTACTTTTTTCATACTTGTAAATGTAAATTGCACCGTCTCTGATAGTAACTGGTTTTAAAAACTGGTTTTTGTTTTGGTAAACAAAGCGTACTGCAAAGTTCAAAATATATTCATTGTACCTAATATCGGAACCCAATTGACTGTAGGAGTTAATATTCGGTATGAGACGTCTTTAACAATTTTCTCCTTATAGACGCAACAGATAGAAGTAAGATTAGTAGCGATTAAAAGCGCTTTTTTATCGCATTATGCCTATACCCCATTTCATTTTTCGCGAACACTCCCTTTAAGATTTGTTTATTTTCGTATTCATTTATAAATATACTTACTTAAAAATTGTGTGTTTGTATATCTAAAATATGTATTTTCATTTTAAAAATTCTTTAAGTACGTGACTGTGAATCTGAAGAAATCTATTCTTGATTTTGGGATTTGCCCGATATTCACTCAAAACAAATTTTCACCCTTTTATCAAAGTAATCTTTTTTTCTTCCAAAAAATATTCAATTTTCTCAATTTAGCGAACAAAATCCTGAAAAAGATTACCGTACCGTACTGGGGAAAATATTTGATTTTCATGAAAATATACACCTCTAATTATTTATTACCTCCAGAGAGCTGAGAGTGATGCTGGAATATGAAACTCCGCAAAGTGTGCTCCAGCTACTCGAATATGCTGAAGCTTTGGCATCAGTTCACAGTCGAAACAGCACATTGTATCACCTGCAAGGGTTAAAAATATGTTGTATAGATAGATAGAGGTATATTTCTATGCACCATTATTCATAATTTCAAGTGACTATCCATGGAAAGGTGGCAATGACCGATTTTTTTATTTAACAACGGTACCCTTAAAAGCTATGTCAGATCAAGTATGAATTAGATTTCAAAGTTTGTGTTTCTTTATACTGCTTATTTTATTTTAGACCCTTTTCTGGGCATTGGATTTCGACTTTTTATAGATCTTTGACAAGCCATGAACATAAGGAAGCAAATTACACAATTTTTGCGAATAAATTTTGCATTGGTTTTTGCACGATGCGCCTTATAAAGAGAACCTCCTCCAGACTATTTTGGGTAAACCAGACGTCGGCCGGCACAGGCTTAAGATTAAATATATTTTCCTTACCTGTCAAGAACCTAGAACCTTTATCATCAAGATGTGAAGATATCCTAGATAGTAGATAAATACACTTACATTCAAACATACAACTCTGAAGATATATCTTTTAATCAAATCAAAAAGAGACAAGACAATACAACCTTTCAAAGCCTCGGATAAAAAAGTATAATATTAGTAGCCTTAGAGGGCGCTTCGCGCCCATCTTCTAAATTAATTGTGAACATGTTCTCTTTGTGTACATCGTAAAACAAAACAAAAATAATTCGCGGATTTTCACAAAAAATCTCGTGGATTTTCAAAATTTTCAAAAACTTAATGAAGATCCAATTTTATTAACATTCATCTGGATTTATCAAAATATATGATGAATTATTTATCATTTCGAAAAAAGAAAAAGAAAAAAAAAAGTTTTCCTACATTGAGAACAAATAGATTAGATATAACATTATTAAATACAGGACGCAAGGTGCCTGAAAAATTAGCTTAGTTTTATATAGTAAACAGGATTAATGTCCTCGAGTTTTACTAAAATCTAACAGCCGAGATTCAAGGTTATTATTATTATTATTAACGATCAACCTACAGACAAAGTACCAAAACCAGTCTAATTTAATTTTCTTATAATAATGATTATAATAAACAACAATTTGTTATAGTTTAATAATTAAATATTTCAATTATTTATCCTTTCTGCGAACTGGAAATGTAAGTGAATTCCTTGTAAGCTGGGAGATTAAAGAATTCTTGGTTTGCTCATCCTAAAACAAGAAAACAATAATTGTTTTTAAATGAAAGAACTAAAAGAAACTAAACTCATTCTTAAAGTGCTAGACATGGTAGTTAAGCTGAGAATGCAGTATGGTAGAGAAATTTGTTAAGGATTAAAAATCATAAAATTTCAATACCTTCTTAATCAACATCAACTTAAACTTGCTGTACACATTCTCAATTAGTCCAGCCACCTCCTTATCCTGGAACAATCAATCAATCAATCTCAATTAATCAATAAATCAATCATGTGGTTCCAGATCAACAGTCACTAGATTTAACTAGTTAACTTGGAGCTATTGTGCCAAATCTTCTTTCACTCATAAAAACTTCTTAACCAAAAAAAGAAACCAATTTCCGTTTTTTTGACCAAAAAAAATAACCAATTTCCGTTTTATGGACCAAAAAAGAAACCAATTTCCGTTTTTTGACCAAAAAAACCAATTTCCTTTTTTTTGACCAAAAAAAGAAACCAATTTCCGTTTTTTACCAAAAATAAGTTACCAATTTCCATTTTTTTGACCAAAGAAAGAAACCAATTTCCGTTTTTTTGACCAAAAAAAGAAAACAATTTCCGTTTTTTGACCAAAAAAAAAACCAATTTCTGTTTTTTTGCCTTAAAAAATTAACCAATTTCCGTTTTTGGACCAAAAAAGAAACCAATTTCCGTTTATTTGACCAAAAAAGAAACCAATTTCTGTTTTTTGCCTTTAAAAAGTAACCAATTTCCGTTTTTTAGACCAAAAGAAGGTAACCAATTTCCGTTTTTTTGACCAAAAAATAAACCAATTTCCGTTTTTTGACCAAAATAGAAACCAATTTCTGTTTTTTGACCAAAAAAGTAACCAATTTCCGTTAAATGTTATCAGATAATAACGTGTATTTAAATTTTTACAGTTTACATCTTAGTTTAAAAATATATTTTATTGAACTCAATTATGATGATTTGAAAAATTATTTCCCAACATTCTTATGAATGTAAAAACTGATTTAATTAAAAGCTCTCACTTGAATGAAGAGATTATGTCCCCCTGGGACAGCTTTCATAATATGGCGTTCAATCTTTTCATTCTCTAGCACTGCTACACCAGCATCAATCAGAGTATTAAACAATTTTAAACCAAGAAAAAAGTCAATATTTAACACATTAGTTATCAGATAAAAGTTTTTAAAGGTTAATGTTGTTCATCTTTGCATTGAAGGTCACTTGAAATTACGCTTTCAGTTCTTTGTAAATCCTAACATAAAGTATTGCAAAACAAGATTTAAAAATACATTAATCAATTGTTGACTAAGCTCTAATGGTTTCTTTTTCATGGGAATGTGTTTAACTTTAGTAGAACAGCTTTAAAAGGGGAAAATTAGTTCCAGGACAAGGCTGAATTCCCAATTTAGTATTGCATAAAAATGTAAAAATCCTTGGAAATTTCCAACCTAACATCCTTGAAAGTTTCCAACCTAAAATCCTTGAAAGTTTCCAATCTAAAATCCTTAGAAGTTTCCAACCTAAAATCCTTGGAAGTTTCCAACCCAACCTAAAAATCCTTGGAAGTTTCCAACCTAAAATCCTTGGAAGTTTCCAACCTAAAAATCCTTGAAAGTTTCCAACCTAAAATCCTTGGAAGTTGCCAACCGAAAATCCTTGGAAGATCCAACCTAAAATCCTGGAAAGTTTCCTACCTAAATTCCTAGGAAGTTACCAACCTAAAATCCTTTGCAGTTTCCAACCTAAAATCCTTTGAAGTTTCCAACCTAAAATCCTGAGAAGTTTCCAACCTAAAACCCTTGGAGATTTCCTACCTAAAATCTTTGGAGATTTCCTACCTAAAATCTGCCGGCGGCTTCAGCATATCCACAGTTGTTATCTTCAGCGCAATTGTTTTCAGCTCTGCCAGCAAATACAGATCCATGAAGTATTCCTGATAATATATTAATTACACAGTGTGAACCGTAAATAGTTTAATTATACAGGGTAAACCATAAATAGTTTAATTATACGGGGTGAACCATAAATAGTTTAATTATACAGGGTGAACCATAAATAGTTTAATTATACAGGGTGAACCATAAATTGTTTAATTATACAGGGTACACTAAAAATAATTTGATTATACAGGGTTAATCATAAATAATCTATTTGTTATGCACATTGTAAAGGGTGACCCATAAATAGTTAAATTGTACAAGGTATAGTAAAATTATACAAGGTAGGCCAAACTTGGTTTAATATACAGGGTAAACCATAAATAGTTAAATTATACAGGGTGAACCATAAATAGTACAATTATACAAGGTAGACTATAAATAGTTGAATTATACAGGGTGAACCATAAATAGTAAAATTATACAAGGTGGACTATAAAAAGTTGAATTATACAGGGTGAACCAAACATAATTTAATTATGCCGGCAAACCATTAAAAGTTTAATATACAGGGTGAACCATGAAGTTCAAGGTGAACCCTATTACACTATAACAATTTACCTCGACAAAACCAATATTTACAAACGCAGGGGGCCGGGGGTAATGGTTTTAAAAGAAAATTCACTCATGAAGCACATGGATATAAGAGTCTGTCCGAAAGAACGCTTTTTTGATTAATTTACTATTTCTTAATACAAGTTGATGATATTTGTTTAGTATTATTTCTGAATTAGGTTCAGATAATTTCAGGCCCGAGCATTACGGCTAAAATAGGCTACGGGCCTTATGAAGGGAATAAATGTGGGGTCTGTCCTAAAGAACGATTTTTGGACCACCCCCCTTCTATTAATTTTGTACATGACCACTATTTACAATTAAATTAGTATTTATTTAGGGTTAGGTTAGGTTAAGACACTTTCTGGGCAGAGCGCTGCGGCTAGGACAGGCCAGGGGACCGAGCGCTGTGTCTACGGGTTAGGTCAAGTTGAGACACTTTCTGGGCCGAGTGCTGCGGCTAGGACAGGCTAGGGGGCCGAGCGCTGTGTCTACGGGTTAGGTCAAGTTAAGACACTTTCTGGGCAGAGCGCTGCGGCTAGGACAGGCTAGGGGGCCGAGCGCTGATGATGTAAAAACTTTTTTTGTATTCAAGACACTACAATTCAGTTTCCCAAATCCATCTTTCACAAGAAAGCTTTCATATTAAACATATAGTATAAAACTGGGAGGTAGATTGTAGAACCCTTCGTAGGCCTAATCCAAAGAAGATTCGTCTTCTAAAGACGCTAACAGTTTCTTCTACCTGACAGAAGAGACAAGCACCCTTTCTTCTTCCATCTATGGTTGAAGCTCTGATTATAAGTTCAATTTCAGGGATATTTGACTCCTCGTCACCCATTATATAAGTAAATAAATCTGAAAATGAAGCGACCAAGTTTTCAAAACCGTTTTATAATTATGGCCGAGTAATGTGTTAGGTTCAGATAACGTTGACGTTGTGTAATTTGTACCATTATTTAGCTTTAAATTGAAAGCACCGCAGTGACCGCCGACCGGAGTGACCGCACGCAACAGATCAAAGCTGTGCGTATGAATAATCAAAATGCCGCAACTTGAATTATATTATTATTTAATCTAAGACGACATTTAAAGAACCGTAGTGCAGCGTTGCCAACCATAAGAATGTTTCTCAATTTTTTTGATTTTATTGAAAATTGGGTTATTTCCGGGGAAGTTAAAAATTGCTGATTTATTTTATAAATTGTGCTTCAAAACAATGAAATTGTCCTAAATTCCTAACATTTTCTGTCATAAATTAGTTTTCAACACAGATGTTATCGTGATCTAAACCAAATCTAATTCAGATCAATCATTGCCAAGGCAGTTTTTCCCAAAAACAGCTTTTAAAATATTGAAAATGCATGATTTTAAGGGATTTTTCAAACTTGATAAATGTTGAAAGCACTTTTATTACATGTGTATATAGTACTATTAAAAATGGAGAATTTTTAGTTGAAATGGGAAATTTTCAAAACAGAAGTGGGAAATTATCTTCTCTATGAGTTGGCAACGCTGCTAGATAGTTCATCAACAAGAACCAGAACGGCAGTCGTCGTCGATCTAATGTAACAAACATGAGTCAGTAAACAAACACTAAACGGTGAATCGTGCTTGAGATGTCAGATGTGCGTCTGTCATTTGTTTTATTGTTTTCAATCTTTATCATTGTTGTTACCTAAAAAGAAGTTTTAAACTATTACCATTTAAAACTGGGGTTTGCCCTATCAATTATGTACAGGACCACTTATTTTTCAGCTAAATTATTATGTATATTTTGGGTCCATCTTAGAGAACGATTTTTGTAAGACAAGTTCTGGGCCGAGCGCTGCGGCTAGGACATGCTAAGGGGCCGTGCGCCGCGGCTAGGACAGGCTGGGCGCTGCGGCCACATGATCAATTATATCCATGTGTTATCCATGTTCAAAGTTGATATGAGGGGGGTTCCTAAAATTGTTCTCTAGGAAATTAGCATTTATTTCTTATTATTTTAGGGCTAGGTTAGGTAAAGACAATTTCTGGGCCGAGCTCTGCGGCTAGGACAGGCTAGGGGGCCGAGTGCTACGACTAGAACAGGCTAAGGGGCGAGCGTTGCTGCTAGGACAGGCTATGAGGGTGGCCCCCTAGCCTGTCCTAGCTGCAGCGCTTGGCCCAGAAATTGTCTTTATCTAACCTATAAACCTAAAATAAAAAAAATAGATTATACTATTTTTGCTGAAAAATGAAAAATAAGTGGTCATGTACAAGATTGATAGGAAGGGGGTGGTCCAAAAATCGTTCTCTTGGACGGACCCAAGTATTTTAAGTAGACGTATGAAAAATGATCATGAAGGAATGAGAGGAGAAATCCTTTAACTTATAGTAATTATATGCGACAACGAAATTAGATGGCTTTGCTAACAGCAAAATATTATGATCTTTGCTAACAGCAAAATATTATGATCAATACTAACATTGATCTTTGCTAACATCTAAATAATATGATCTTTGCTAACAACTAAATATTACGATCTCACAAGATATTTTTTCGAAGCTTTTACGAGATCTTTCACAAATCATTGTAAGACCTTTTTTAACAGCATTCAAATATTTTATTAAGTTATCTTATTTGTTGTATTTTTATAGACATTTTCTTTCAAAGTTTTGAAATATGAAATTAGTTGTAAATGCAGACTAACATTTGCTTGCAAATACTGTAGTATAATGTTTGTTGGATCCATGGAATTCTTATTTTGGTTTTTCATTTCAGATTTAAAAAGACTGGGAATATAAAAAAAAGAATTGACCAGGGAAGAAATAAAGATAATAGGAGAACAAGTTGTCATCATGGTAGATAGATTTCCATTTTCTAGGTTGGGGGAAACTTCTACTTGGGATGTACAGATAGATGTTAAGATGGAAAATACAGAATTCTTAGGTAACGTTTGATATTCTAGGTTAATAAATCTTCAAAATGTAAACTTTTCAAACTTACTGAAGAAATCATGCCGTTTCTCATAATTTCTATAAAATTTGAAAAATGTTTTTTGAATCAGTGAAAGATCTTTTTATTTTGTTTATTTCAGACCAAAGCCGAAAAAGGTTAATAAATGTCTTATTATTTTAAACATAATTTCCATTCATTTTCCTGGTTTAAATACATGTGAACCTTTAAGACATATCACTTTAGAAAAATGAAAAAAAATATTAATTTTTGTTAAATTGAAGGAATTTTTAGTGTTTAAGAATATTCATTATTATTCATTTTAGATGTGGGTGGTGAAAATGCGACACAAGAAATAAAGTTGGAAGATATTGAGATAAAAGAAGAGACCGTTTTCATTAAGGAAAAAGATCCTTTAGGTTCCAATGAAGAAGATACTTGTACAGTTTATGTACAAGGAGAAAGTCTAAAAAGAGAAAGTACAGATATTCCTAGTAAGACATTATTATCATTTTTTCATTTTATTGTAAATTATTATCTTCACTGAAGTGGTGCACATGAAGCATTTCAGGATTGATGGTTAGGCATTTTAGTTCTGTCAATTCAGGCATATTTGGTAAGCTAATTATAGAACATTTGTAACATTTTGTGTTATATCTTCCTTTAGCCTACCAAAGGGCAAAGATGCCTGGATTGAAAGAACTAAAATACCAAACCATCAAATATACTGATATTATTATTCTTTTCTGAACGGTATATTTGTAAATTTCATTCACCCCCCATAAATTAGTTTTCAACACAGAAACACATGTACTCCAATCTATACTTTTATTGTCTGTTTCAGATAAAGTGTTACCAGTGAACAAGCTCAGAAAAATCTTGCCAAAATCTATATTAAACCAGGTATCATATGGTATTGTATTTGCTTATTTATTTTACCGCCACCTATTATTCCTTTAACAGAGGGAGGTTAAGTTACGTAACGTCCCTTGGGACAGTTATGTAAAAAAACACCTGTCTGCAAAGTTTTAAGAAAAAGAACCCGTAACAAGTAAGATATTTTGTAATATCTCTCTAGATATCAATAGCAGTCGATTCTATTTTTAAATGTTGACTCATATAATTGCCTAGGAGCAGGATATGAAGTCAGATTGCCGATTTATTGATTTTTTTTTAAATATAAAAGTGACAAGTTCTAATAAAAATACAGGAGTAAAAAAAATTTTAAAAAAATAATGTTATATAATTGCCTAGGAGTTGGATATGAAGTCAGATCACCGATATCACTTTTTTAAAAAAATGGGCTATTTTTGTCCAACGAGGCCGGAGATAAAAAATCGTAGGCGACGGAGGTCACTTTTTATAGGTTCCAAGTCTCTGGAAAGAGATATCGACAATCTGACTTTATATCCCCCCTCCCCCCTGTACTCTATTCTAACATTTGTTGGTAACCTTGCAAATATTTAGGATACACAGTTTGTGAATTTGCTGACTTCTTGTTCCAATATACTGCCCAGTACTCAGACTCAAACTTCGAGTATTTTATCCTCGCTGCCGGTAAAAATCAAGGTTTCATTATTAATTAAAAAGGTTGATATTTATTCCCGCCCCTGTACTGTTCAGTAACACTGGAAACAATAGCAAGTTGAATAACCTGATTTCCTCTGGGTTGAGTTTCATCAGGTTGAACCCCAAGACCTGATTTTCTCTGATTTGGGTTGAATAACTCAAGTCAATCAAATCAAATCATTTAATTGGTCACAAGTTATCATAAATATTAATTAAGTAATTAACAGTTATAAATATACTGTGGTCAAACCGGATATTTTTTGGGTTGGGTTGAATAACTAAACCTGATTTACCCCGGGTTGAGTGAATAACTAAACCTGACACCGACACCGCGACATCAAAGTTTTTTTCTTTTTTGGTAACCCTGTACCTATTTAGGATACAGGGTATGTGAGTTTGCAGACTTCAAGTGATGTAATCCACTGCAATATCCAGGTTAAATAAGATTGTCAGTCACATGCACTCTTTTCTTAAACCAAACTAAAACCGTTAGTTTTTAAAGGGATTATATTCTTTACAAGTATCTTCCCCCTTGATCTTTATGTTACCCTGTTCTCTTTACAGACCCCATTCCTTGATTGGTAGGTTGGTTGATGAATTGCTTGGTTGGTACAGTAGAAGTCAATGATCAAAGATGAAAATCAAGACTCTTGTATTAAATGATAACGTATTAAACCGGAGGGTGGGTTGGTTGGATGGCTTTTCCGAAGGTTGGTTGAGTTGTTAGATGGGCTTAAATGCTGAAATTTCTTACTCTTTCAAATTAGAATGTGGACCTGAAAGATTCATCCCAGTTATACTTTTTTCTTAATTCTAAGTGTTATTTGGTTGGTTGATTGGTTGGTTGGTTTGTTGGTTAATTGGTTTATTGGTTTATTGGTTAATTGGTTTATTGGTTAATTGGTTTATTGGTTTATTGGTTAATTGGTTGGTTAATAGGTTGATTGGTTGGTTAATTGGTTATTTGGTTGGTTAATTGGTTAATTGGTTGGTTGGTTGGTTGGTTGGTTTCAAAAAGTGTTAATTTTTGCAACATTTAAAGACATTGGATTTATAATACATGAATAACTTATTTCGGATGTTTTAAAAAAGAAAACCAATTGTCAAACAGTTTTTGCCCTGGTAATTATGAAAGCATTCAAATGGCATACTTCTGAAATTCCATAGTTCCAAGAACAGTCGTTGTTTAAGATATATATTACTATTTCTAGTGACAAACGCAGTAGGTTATAAATATATATTTGTCGTTATGACAATACCCAAACTAATTTTGTTTCATACGGGCAGGATATTGAATGCATTGTTGAGAAGGATGACACAGGGCAAAATAAGGTTAGATTTTTACTTTTGCCCCTTTGTCAAAAAATAGATACTAATTTTCTTTTCTAGAGTCTAGAGACAAGTATATTAACTAGCATGAGCCAGGATTGATTTATTGTTTTTTTTAGCATGTTTTGCAATGCTTAGGATCCATTCAATTCACTTTCATTGTTGTTTATTTACAGAAACTCTTGCAATTGTTTTACACTATGTACAGTGCAAATTGTTTCTATATCAAAAAGAGCGGAATGCATTTTATGCCCCCTCCCCCACCTCCTTTTTTAAAGTACAAATAATATAGGTAGATGACGGTGAGGATTCAGATATCGAGTTTATACCGACAAATTATATGATAAAGGTAATTTTGTGCATTTTCAAAACAATTTTGTCAGTTATGGAGTGTTCAGAGTACAATAATGGTTGGCCTCGTTCAGACTTTTTTAAAGCATTTCGTTTAGTTGGTTAAAATTCTTAAAATAATAAAGTGTTAAGTGCAAGGTGTCCCATGAAACATGACTGTAGCAACACAAATGAAGGTAGTCTTTGATTGCTAAAAATTCAGTGCTTAGGATCCGGATCCGTTGGATCCGCAAGATTTTGGCTTTCTGGATCTGGATCCGGATCCGCAAAAATATGCGGATCCACGGATCCTGATTTAAGGGGTAAAATATCAACCAAAAACTGCAAAAAAATCTTTTTTTCTCTTAGACCCCAAATCTGAACTTTTGAAAAAAAAGAGATTATAAAAATTTCCTCATTTCTGAATGGTTCATCAAGTTTTAGGATAAAAATAAGCGAAAAAAAATTTGAAAATTATTTTTTGTTAAAAAATTTCATTAAATCTTGAAGAAATGACCTTTTTTCCAGTGCGGATCCAGGATCCGGATTCGCATCAAAATTGAATGGATCCTAAGCACTAGCTAAAATAAGTGAGTGCCATTTATTACCTAATTTTTAAAGTAAAGTAAAATTAATATCACTATTCACAAGTTCCCCTAGTCTTTGCATTTCCAAAATGTGGGGTGCCTTTTTTGTGTTTTTAATATTACCGGTGATATAAAGTATTTTGTTCAGAGTTCGACAATTTTAGTTTTATTTTATAAAATTTTTAATCTGAAAAACAAACAACAGTATTAACAGCACAAAAAAAGCAGACTATAATTTTGAAATGTCAGGACTAGGAGAATTTTCTGGTTATTGTTTAAAGTAGTGCTTAAGATCTATTTAGTTTTGATGCCGATCCGGTTCCTGGATCCGCACTGGAAAAAAATTGACCCCAATCCAGATCCAAATTTGGACTTGGATCCAGGTCTTCGACATTTCTTTAAGATTTTCTGAATTTTTGAATAAAAAAGATTGTCAAATTATTTTTCTTCTTTTTTCGCTAATTTTTATGCTAAAACCTTTAATTTAAAAATCAAGGAATTATTTTAATTTCTCTTTTTTTTAACAGTTGAGAATTGTGCGTCTCTGAATATGATTTACAGCGTTGGAACAATACAAGTTCATAACTATTTAACCAATGTAATGTTTATACGCCACCCCATGCACACAGAATAATCAAGTCTATTCTTGAGTTTTAGAATTTATTTCTTGATAATCATTAGCTGTGAAGCTGAAAACATAAACATAATTAGCATGATATATTTACAAACCGTGATGAATGGTAAAATGTTGTGATTAGATTAAGTTATTTGACAGAATATATTAAAATCCAATATTTCAAAATGTGATCTCTGGGGAAATGTTACGACCAGATAAAAGGATTTGAAGAATTATATAAAAACTTTTTAAAAGCTTAAAACATCTGTTTCAAAAGGCACATCAGAATTTTATAAAACACAATGGCGTCTCAAGCTTTCTAATATAAATCTTACATTTGAAGGCGGTTTAGTTTTCTCGCACGCTGATCCAAATTTGAAGGCGGTTTTGTTTTCTGGCACGCTGATCCGAATGTTTTCTGTAGGAATTTATCGTGTTTCAAGTTCTTCATGTAACAGTATAATTTCTCCTGCGAACGAAAAAAACTTTAAGCATCTAGTTTTCATTGTGAATATTACAGAGTCTATGTAGATAAGGTTTATTAGATAATAAATTTTTAAGTGTGTCCTGTGGACACTGCGGACTGCAATTCTCCTTAATTCCGTATGATGAATGCACGTAGATCAGGATACTTATGAACTTTTTTGTACCTTGATTGTCATTTGAATTAACGAATCACTCCTTGAGATAGAGTTAGGTTGTAAGTTGGTATTGATTTTGATCTCTTATGATCTTCTCCAACATGTGATCATTATTTAACCTGAAAGATTGGGATTAAATGTGCCAATATTAGTTTCTTTTAAAAATCAGGTTTACATTACATGTTAGATTGGACTCGATTATTTAATCATCCTGCCTATATTGTTCTTAAGTGGGTCACACTGCTTTAGCCTTTTTCTTCCAGGCGGCTGTAGTTTATCCCAAAATAATAGTTATTTAACAAAATTTGGATTTTGAGATCCGCATATTTCTGCGAATCTGGATCCAGGTCCAGGAAGGATCCAGGAAGACAAAATCTTGCGGAAGAATCATACATATGAAATTAGATTAATGACTGAATGCCTTTAATAAATTAAAATTTCAGATACTACTTTCCAGTCGCCTTGTTACTGTCATAGTTTTGTGGGACACCATGTAATATATATAAAACTTATGGAGGAAATTTTTATTGTAAATAAGGGGAGAGAAAGATTTTTTTTAAATATACATCCCTAATCTAAATTATTGATTTTTTAGAAAAGAAAGCTTCCAAGTAAACTCAAAACAGTCGGGCTCAAGTTTCCTCAGATAAAACCAGGAACTAGGATGCAAACAGATATGATTGACAGTCATCCTCCTCACATACTAAGTCCTGCAGATATGACTAACCGTAATATGAGTGACAGTCATTCTCCTCACATACAAAGTCATGCAGATATGACTAACTGTAATATGAGTGACAGTCATCCTTCTCACATACAAAGTCCTGCAGATATGACTAACCGTAATATGAGTGACAGTCATCCTCCTCACATACAAAGTCCTGCAGATATGACTAACTGTAATATGAGTGACAGTCATCCTCCTCACATACAAAGTCCTGCAGATATGACTAACTGTAATATGAGTGACAGTCATCCTCCTCACATACTAAGTCCTGCAGATATGACTAACTGTAACATGAGTGACAGTCATCCTCCTCACATACAGAATTCCAAAAAAACCATTAATCAAAGTCAACAATACCAACCTGAGCCACAGCCACAGTACAGCAACCCAAAGTCGGTCAAGAAGAGAGGTCATGGATTCTGTGGTATGTGTAATAAATATTATTACCATCTTTGGAGACATTTTGAGAATAAACATCGAGCTGAGCCATCAATCTCCAATCTTATGAGCCTGCAAATTTTGAACAAACCAGAATTTGATGTACAGTGGAAGATGATGAAATCTGAGATGCTGCAGAAAAAAGGGTTACTACCGAAATCTGTTTCCATTTGTGATTGCGGAAGTACTATTTCTTTTCGAAACCTCGCGCAACACATCAGATTGTACTGTCCGAAGAACTCCGATGTCTCAAACCGAAGAATGAAAGTTAAAGAACTCAAAAATAAGATGGATGTTAATTGGCATACTTCTAATTTTAAAGAAATAACGTCCATAAAAAACCCTGTAGATATGACTAACTGTAATAGGAGTGACAGTCATCCTCCTCACATACAAAGTCCTACAGATATGACTAACTGTAATATGATTGACAGTCATCCTCCTCACATACAAAGTTCTGCAGATATGACTAACTGTAATATGATTGACAGTCATCCTCCTCACATACAAAGTTCTGCAGATATGACTAACCTTAATATGATTGACAGTCATCCTCCTCACATACAAAGTCCTGTAGATATGACTAACTGTAATATGAGTGATAGTCATCCTCCTCACATTCAAAGTCCTGCAGATATGACTAACTGTACCAGAATTTGATGTACAGTGGAAGATGATGAAATCTGAGATGCTGCAGAAAAAAGGGTTACTACCGAAATCTGTTTCCATTTGTGATTGCGGAAGAACTGTTCGAAACCTCTATCAACATATCATCAGATTGCACTGTCCGAAGAACTCCGGTGTCTCAAACATAAGAATGAAAGTTCATGAACTCAAACATAAGATGGATTTTAGTTGGCATCCTTCTAATTTTAAAGAAATGGCGTGTTTCCTGAAGAAGGATAGAGTTTACAAGGCTGGAGCAAGAGATGTTGTTTTGGTCCAGTTTATATCCAAAGCACTACTTAACAGAGTGGATCAAGACGAATATGAAACTATTAAAACCTGTTTCAGGTAGGGGTTTATATTTGGAAATAAAATTAGCGACTGGGGAAGCAAAATTAAAAATTATTTTCAAATTAGGAGGGAGTGCTGATATTCATACATCAAATAAATCCCCCCCTCATCCCACTCTGTTAAGCCTTGTGCTGATATGTTTGGGAAGATAAATCCACACATTATTGGGAATAGGGGAACAGGGATATAACTTGTGGAAAGAATATACCAATCTCTTTTAGATCAATCAGCAAAATACTTTGTGCTCTTGGAGATGTGGTTGAGAAACCAGTAACAATGGAAGAGGTTCTGAAAGTTAAACCGTATTATCAGATTCTAGTAGATCTTGCATCTGGAAAAATACAAACAGATATACTAGATTCCACCACTCTGTCCGTGTAAGTATTCCTATTATTTATCACTACTTTACAGGGAAATTAAAGGAATTTTATTTATCAAAGAGATTTTGTTATTTTACTTAATAGTCCCAAGGGACGTTAAGTAACTTTATCCCTCTGTTGGTGAGGATCGTGTGTCAGTAATATTTGTGAAATTGCGATGATGAAATATTTATATTTTTCTTTTTCAATATAGAATTTGATTTCATATTCTTATTACATTGACTGCCAATTTTATCATTTCATTACTTTCAATCTTTTAAAAAAGTGATGCCAATCTTTTTTGGAAAACTTTTTAGATTGAGATAAATTTGTAAACCTAGTTTCCTTATGTATATCAAACTGTAGTCAGCTGTAGTCAACTTCCGTTTACCCCTTTTAGATTTTCATCTATTAAAATATGTTTAAGGAGAATGTCCAAAACCCTAAAGACAATGGCTCGGCAAGTCCTCAACCACTTAAAGGAGACCAGTGGAGACCGACAGAAGATAGATGATGTACTAGAGTTTGATAAACATAGAAGAGCTTTCTGGAACCAGGTTTTTGTTAATATTTATTGAATCTTATTTTCATTTTTAGTCTTAGTGGAAGGGTCTGAAATTGCAATTTCAAGCGAAAGGCCAGGCAAAGCACAATTTTCCTTATTTTTTATGAGATAATTATTTAACAGGATGTCGGGAAGAAACTTGCTTTTACAAAGAAGAGATCAAAATTCAACAAACCGTTGAACATACCGTCTAAATCTCTAGTAAGTATTTATATGATTATTGTTCTCAATATTCCCTCTTTTAAAGTCATTTAAGATCTAAATAGTTTAAGTCATGAAATATTTCAGAGATGTTTGTATATTAGTTCCGAGACTCATATTTTTGCCCTCCCCTCCCCCCTTCCTTTTAGAATCATATTTTTTCAAAAAAATTTTGGGATTTTAGTTGTAGTAGAGGAGCCCTTAAAAGGTCAACTTAAAGGTTCCCTTGAGATTTTTTTGAAAGCATTTTTCTGATGCTGTCTTGTGTTAAATTTTAGTTTTCTCCTGAAGATTCAAATCTATTCCCCCTTTCCCCTTCTTTATATGATCTCTGAACAAAGTTTCGAAAACTATTTTGTACCTTGAATGTTATTTGAACAACGTATCACTTCTTGAAATAGGATTAGGGAGTCTGAATGATCTTGATCTCCCATGATCATCTGCAACACAACGATAGTTAAATTTTTATTAAATATCATTTACATGTTTACAGATTTAAAATGTGAAAATATTAAATTACTTTAGAAGCTTGATAAAATTTGGTTTACATGACTTCTTAGTCTTTAAAATACAGAATATAATAAAATACAGGAATATTATTATTTAATTATACTGCCTATATAGTTATTTAGGGGATCACACTGGTTTAGCCTTCATCTTTCAGGCTGTAGTTTAACTTAAAATAAAAATTTAGATTTTATATGTACCACACTTATATTTCGTCCAAAAATGATGTTTTCTTATTTTACTCCTAAACTGCAACTTTTAAGTGATAGTGTGCTTGGACTTTTAGGATCTACAACTAAAAATTGACATCAGGGGCGTACGAGGGGGGCACTCATGTGGGGGGCCTCTTTTAATATTACATCTGCTTGCATTTATCTTCCTCAGGCAATCTAAATTCTACATTGCATTGCATTGCACTCACCCCAAACTAAATTAAGAAAAGAAAAAATATATTCTGATTCATAACAATACCCTTCAAGCTTTGTTTGATCAAGTATTGCATTAAGCATCCATGTTTCCCATTTTAAAAACTGATTATTTTTATTTGTGGTTTCTCTACAAAAGTGACTCGCGTTTTTATTGCTTCAGAAACGGTGGAGAAATGAAAGTTTCAAAGGTACATCGGACATGCCACTCCATAAATGGAGGATCACTTGAAATTACGAATGTATTCCATTTAAGTATAATTACATAGTGTAGTAAAAAATACTTTAATATCACTTTTGCCCTTAACTAAAAAAGCTTCATTAAAAAAGCTTTAATCAATACTGCCTTCAGTATAAATATATATTATAATATCATAATTTATAATACAATCTGTATCAATCCTATGAAAATACAGATAATTCTTTAGAAACGTTGACATATATGTTTTTCATCCCTTGAAGCTTACAGTATTAAGAGTGATTGCCTGATTTTGTGGTCCCCCCCAGGCAAAATTTGCCCCATCTACAAAAATGCTCTTGTACGCCCCTGATTGACATTATCAACAGAATGAGGTAGTTCAAAATTCCAATATAATAATTAAAAAAATATTGTGAACAATGCCAGCGAAAAAATGTGTGATTTAAAGAAATAATTGTAAGTTGTGACGTAATATAGTAACAGGATGTTAATAAGTTTAAAAAACTTTGAATGCCAATATTTAAATTTTTCAACAGAACATTAGACCAAACAACATTAAAAAGGGTGGTGCACCTGTCCCCTTGCAACCCCTTGGTTACGGGCCTGCAACCAAATAGTTACGAATCCTAAGCACTGCATAGTGTCTGTACACTGAGTAAGGATTTGTCGATTGATAAACCGTTGTGATCAGGAGTCAAAATACTGGAATATGTATTAAATCATATCTGTTCGGTTCCATAGTAGTAAAGCTATCATGTAAGAATTCCCATTATTACACGGTTCAGGAGGAACAATTTTAATATTGTTCGCTTCCTTGCGTTTAAGAATGCTTATTCTTACACTGTAGGTGTAGAATTTTCATTCTTTAACGCTCAGACCGTGTAAGAATGGAAATTATTACACGGTCAGAGCGTGAAAGAATGTATATTCTTACACGCTCCAAGCATTAAAGAATGGAAATTCTTACACTAGTTGAAGAATATTCATTCTTACACGCTCCTTATATTGATCTTTTAANTTATCATTATCATTATCATTATCATTATCATTATCATTATCATTATCATTATCATTATCATTATCATTATCATTATCATTATCATTATCATTATCATTATCATTATCATTATCATTATCATTATCATTATCATTATCATTATCATTATCATTATCATTATCATTATCATTATCATTATCATTATCATTATCATTATCATTATCATTATCATTATCATTATCATTATCATTATCATTATCATTATCATTATCATTATCATTATCATTATCATTATCATTATCATTATCATTATCATTATCATTATCATTATCATTATCATTATCATTATCATTATCATTATCATTATCATTTCCCAAACAATGTTGCTTCGATGAAGGTTGCAAGGGTACCGATGTGAATGGGACATGTCATGTCCCGGTTTAAATGGAGTTCTTTTTGAAATTATGTCCACAGTCCATTCTAAAGTCCATTGGAATCCTAGCCTTATAAATATAATTTGTTTTCATGTTAAGCTTGGTGTGAATGAGCGGGAAGAATCCGAGGCAGATTTGGATGAAGATGTTGAAGAGAATGAACATGATAAAGATGATGAAGATGACGAAGAGGATGAAGATGATAAAGATGATGAAGAGGATAAAGAGGATGAAGAGGAACCACAGGTAAATATTTTATTCTTATAAACCTTTCTGATTGGTAATGAGGAATTATTACTCAGGAAATTTGTGTCAAAAATTGTGATAAAATCAGGTTTACATCACATCTTAGATTTAAATACAGAATAAAAATACATTTTGATATTCCTTTAACTTGAAAATTGACAGGATTTAAGTGATTGTTCTCGATTATTTAATCATCCTGCCTATACAGTTCTTGAGTGGGTCACACTGGTTTAGCCTTCTCTTTCAGACTGTAGTTTAAACTAAAATAATAGTTAAAATTTTACAAAATTTGGGTTTTGAGATTCGCTCATTTTTGCGGATCTGGATCCAGGTCCAAGAAGCCAAAATCTTGCGGATCCAAGGGATCCGGATCCTAAGCAATGGGTAACTTTCAAGAATCATACATGTGAAAGTAGAATGATGACTAAATTTCAGAGACAACTTTCCAGTCGCCTTGTTACTGTCATAGTTTTGTGGGACACACCATGTAACATACATAAGTTATTGAGGAAATTTTTATTGTAAATAAGGGGAGAATAAGATTTTTATTAAATATACACCCTTAATCTGAACTATTGATTTTTTAGAATGTAAACTGTAAAACTTTTTTTTCCAAATCTAAATTCTGATTTGCCTAAAAAATGGCTTATTTTTAAGAGCAATATCAATTTTAAAAATGACGCACCATAAAATACACTTTAGTTTTAAAGGAAACCCTTGTGTAAAAATGTGCAATGTGTTAAGAGAAAATTGCAAAAGAAACTTTTTTTACAAAATCTGTAACGCCTAAGTAATGACAGTTAAAATTGTGATTTTAATAATATTTTCTTATTCTTCAGACTACCCTGAACAATTTGTCTCTGCTCCCACAATACGAAAATTGACTTAGTTTAGATGCTAAAATCTAAATTAAAATACCTCATTTTTTTACAATTTCAAACAACTTCTTTAAATTTTGTCTTCTTAATGTGATGGCTATTTAAGAAATTTACGGCTGAATGAGTGATTTTTCGTTGTTTCTATTATGTTTCTCACATACAGGGTTACCCACAAAGGATGAGACTGTCAAGAAAAGAGGATAAAGAGGATAAAGAGGATAAAGAGGATAAAGAGGATAAAGAGGATAAAGAGGATAAAGAGGATAAAGAGGATGAAGAGGATGTAGAAGAACCACAGGTAACCTTTTATTATTATAAACCTTTCTGATTGGTGATGAGGAATTGACTTTATTTCTCAGGAAATTTGTGTAGACATTTAATTAGACATTAAAAAGGCTTTTGTTCTTCTTTCTATCATTATTTTGACCCACAATATCATGAAATAGTTAGGCTAATAGTTGTTAAGGAACTGTTGGGCACTGTTGTAAATCGACCCCTCATAAATGAAAGCTACTTGAAATGACGAGGGAGAAAAAACTATTGTAACATTCTAATCAGTATGCCAAAAACCTGCAGATTTTTTGCGAGTCATCATACACCAAATTTTAAACTTTTTATACTTTATAAGGAACTGGGCACGAGGGTTCCTTTCCTTTAAAGGGAGTGTTCGCGAAAAAATGAAAGGGGGTATATAGTCTTAATACGATAAAAAAGCGCTTTTGATCGCTACTATTCTTACTTCTATCTGTTGCGTCTATAAGGAGAAAATTGATAAAGACGTCTCATACCGAAGAGCGTCGCGCCCATACAAATTGAGGAAGTTTGAACATACGACTTAGACCGTAAAAAAATCAAATTAATATCAAACAAATCATTCAGATATTACAACCTATAGTCATCGATTATCTTTCGCCACATTTGTATATATTTAATATTTCATACTAGTTTTGATTTTGATTTTTAAAATAATATTTAGCTTACAACTTGTTTTCGAACATTCCTGGAAAATATGAAAATGTCGTCTTCATTACCAAAAATCCTCGAAACAGGAATAAACGTTTTTATAAGTAACTCTCAGATCATAACAATTAAAACATATTATGAAAAATCAACTTTATATAAATGTGGCGAAAGATAATCGATCACTATAGGTTGTAATATCTGAATGATTTGTTTGAAATTAAATTGATATTTTACGGTCTAAGTCGTATGTTGCAATTTTCTCAATTTGCATGGACGCCATGTTATTCGGTATGAGCCGTCTTTAACAATTTTTTCCTTATAGACGCAACAGATAGAAGTAAGATTAGTGGCGATCAAAAGCGCTTTTTTATCGCATTAAGCCTATACCCCCTTTCATTTTTTGCGAACACTCACTTTAAAAAATTAATTTTAAGTACTCGGATTGCCGTGCTAGGAGCCAACAGATTTGTCATGGGTCATCCTAAATTTTAGGTCAGATAAAAGCGTGGCGACAGTGTATTTTCTAACCTACTTGAGTGGGAAAGGATGCTAGTTGGCGGGTTTCAAGGTGGATGGTTTGTGAAGGATGATTGGCTGGTTGGTTATAATGTGGTGTTTTTTCTAGGGCTCTTGTTCTGAGGCTGTTGAAAAATCTTCAATTTCTGCTCAAACAGACGAATTAGAAAATTTAAACTGTAATGAATATTGTTAAATTGTAATGGTTTTATGGTTTGGCTAGAGAATGACATCATTTTTGGAAAAACTAAACTTTTCAAAATAAACGAAATTTTATGTGATTGATGGTGTCGTAAAATAAATAATCAATGATGGATTAACGAATTGGATCGTTTAGAGAACAAATAAACTCATCGTTTTTCATAAGAAATGAAAAAAAAACAATTAATGATATTTATTGGTTGTGCAAACTGTTAACAAACTATTTCTAAATAGTTTGTGCCTCCAAAGTTGAAAAAATGATATTGAACAAACGATTATTTCTACGAGCTTCAGAGAAAATTAACGTTTTGTTACTGGACAAATAAATGTTCAAACTAACTTTTAAATGAACTATTGCTTTTTAACTGAACAAATGATTTTATTGCTGACTGGCTGGCTTACTAGCTTGCTCGTGCGTTGTTTAGTAGTTTGTTTGATAGGTTGCCTGAATTCTAATATACCTATAAATAGATTACTGGACTTGTTTCGGCTTTGAATGATTCATAATTTTTTTAACAAAGCAGAATTTTAAATATTTTGTCGTATTCTTTTCCCTTATTTTTATGCTAAAACTTGATGAACCATTTAGAAAGCAGAAAATTTTTATAATGTCGCTTTTTATTCAAAAGTTAAGATTTGGGTTTTGAGAGTAAGAAATTTTTTTCTCAGTTTTTGGTTTATATTTTGCCCATTGGATTCGGATCCCTGGATCCGCATATTTTTACGGATCCTGATCGTAAACACTGATTGTTAGATTGAATGCTTTAATGAGTTTCTGGTTTGTTGGTTGGTTGTTAATACATTTCTAGCTTGGATAATTAATTTTATAAATATTTTTAAGGTTGGTTGAGGTAATGCCTGGGTATTTAAATGGAGGTTAGGCGTGATAAGTTGTTCGGTAGATGAGTTGTTTGTTTGATAAATTAATTTGATTAGTTAATAAAATAGTTAGTTAGTACGTTTTCATGCTGAACAGTCTTATTTGTTCAGATTATCATACATACAACTTCCCATATATTCCTTATATTAATTACAGTACGTTTTCATGTTGAACAGTCTTATTTGTTCAGATTATCGTAGCAGATAGTTCAGATTTCAAGAAATTAATGAATAAAATGAATACACCTATTTTTTGATAAATTAACTGGTTAGTTGATTAATAAATTGGTTAGTTGATAAGTTAATTATTTAGTTGATAAATATATAGGTTAGTTGATAATTATTTGGTTAGTTTGTTTATAAGATTTGAATCTAGTCCATTGTTCCTGATCCTGTATCAGATCCCGATTCCGAATCTGATTCTGATTACGTAATTGTAAGTATTAATCTTGAAGAACTAATGCAATATTTAAGAAAAGTGATTTTAAACGTAATTTCAAGCTTCCCCCTTGGTTCGCAATTGCAATAAGGAAACCACAAAGTTGTTCTATTTTAAATGTGTGAAATTCTTCTTCTGGATCAATGAGGAATAAATCTGCAAGTTATTATGGAGAAACCGCAGTTAAAAATAATTTTTGCTAACTACGGTGTAAAGTTTACCCTACTAACTCAGAGCCCGTTTTCTACATAGAAAGAGGTCGTGTAGTTCACGTACTTTGGGGGACGATATGTTGGCCGCTAGATGTCTCATGCTAAATTCTTATCTGATAGATATTTCTCCGTACATTTGACGAGCAAAATAGGAGACGTCAAGTTGTCGACCAATGTAGTTTATGGATGGAACGGTCTCTGGCTAGCAACTGAAGTACCCAGAGCAGGGAACTTCAGAATGGGATATCCTTAATCCCGATCGGTTAATTAATCTGGAGATTAATAGAGGAGAACAAGCATTATTTAATCTGGAGATAAAGAAAAAAGAGGAGATCAAGCATTAATCCTGATATCCACCATTCAAAAGTTCCCAGCTCAGATTTGGTGCATCAATTATTTCTTTTTAAAGAAATGCTTATTTCTAATCTCTTTAGATAAGTGACTCACTTTTTTTCTACAGATTCAATGATCAGATTAAGTTTACAAGGTACCGGTGTGAATCGGGACATGGACCTCTTTTAATAAAGTGATGCTTTAGCTTGAAATAAGAAAACAATAAGGCCTGAATGAAGAATCTATTTGAAAGTATTCCCCAATTTAATCGTTTTATCAAAAGATAATAAACTTTCTTTAAATCGAACAAAATACCTGTTCAAAATATGTTTTATAAGTCAATACTTCTTGTCTGCATATTAGATCAGCCAAAGAAGAAGATAATCCACAAGCACAAGACAATCTCTAAAAAGAAGAAACCGAAGAAGAATACAGACGCTGATCCCAGTTATGTTATCCCAAAGCCAGGATAAAATCCCTTCTGGTGGGGGAAGTTACAATATCTCCATATGACACAAAAACGACACGTCTCACAGACGAATTTAACCAAACATTGAGGTAAGGTATTGGCAGTAAAAGTATTACTCTAAAAACTATTCTGAAAAATTTTAGCTGAAATGAGAAATGAAACTGTTTCTCAAAATTGTTTTACTTTTATTTTTCACCAAAATGTTAAGCTCAGATAACCTTTTTAAACCAGGAACAAATATGTTATGGTCAGTTGATTTCTGTACACTGTACAGACTTCTCACTAAGAAATTTAATTATACTAATTACAAGCGACTCATAATAATATACAATAAGATTTTGTATACAAATGAAATGAGATTTTTATACAACTACATTCTTTTAGATATGCCTTTGCATAAGAGATTGATGCTGAGCCCCCTTGTCCGTACAAGATTGCCTGATGCCAGGAAGGTTTTTGAGGGCACTGGGGTCAAATGGGGCCAATTTCTTTCTGCCAAAGTGGAAAGTAAGTTAAATAGAATATAAGCACATAAAATGGTCCAAATCGAGTATCTAACTTTCTAGTCCCATTTTTTTAATGTTTGACTTTATAATAATTTAAAGATACCTTAATTGTCATGTAACTTATTCCAGTAAGAGTTATAAATTTTAATTGCCGTTGAGAAACTAATGTTTTTGAATGTGACTCAAAACAAACAAAAATGAATATTTTTACATTTTTCTAGCTTATTTGCAATTTCGTTCCCCCTTCAGGGCTTTACATAGGTTTTAGGTTTTAGCAATTTTTGTGTGATTCACATTTTTGATCTCAACTGATTAAAGTGTCAGTCTAGGCCTTTAACTTAAAGGGAGTGTAAGCGGAACTTTAAGTGACCCTTCATGCAAAGATGGCAACAGCAGTTCACTGACAAGCTTTGTCCGATCATGTATTAATTAGATATCCATGTTTTGCTTTCTGTTTATTTTCGATTGCAGTTTCTCTTAAAAGTGACTAGCGCATTTCTTGCACACAGAAAGCAATGGAGAAATTATCAGTAAAGGGCATTGTCATCTATGCATGGAGATTCACTTGAAATTACGCTCACAGTCCTTTTGACCTCAAAATCTCTGTCATCATTTTTCGCCTAAAAATTAATTATGCGTTTGATTTGTGAAACTACAACATTTGTAAACTCCTGAGACCTGGCTGCATGTTAATCTAAATATTGTTAACTCCTGAGACCTGGCTGCATGTTAATCTAAATATTGTAAACTCCTGAGACCTGGCTGCATGTTAATCTAAATATTGTAAATTAATTAAAATCATTATTTATTTAGACTTTCTGAATGCTGTTATCGAGGCGAGAAGAAAGGAGCATGCCTACACAGTTAACTTAATGGAGAAATGCCGGGATATTTATTTTATCAACGTTTTTTTGGTGTCTAATCCTATTAGGGAGGGGATCCAGAGCAACCATGAGCTCCGGGAACGGACCTCAGCTCCGGAGCTTTCTGATTCGCTAAATGACCTGTTAGTCAATCAAGATCATCACCAAGCCTCATGCTACCAAACAGCTCGATATAAAATTTTATATCGAGCTGTTTGGTTTCTTTAGTAGGGCCCCACAGGAAAAATATGTATTGGCGAAACTGGTCAAAGAAAATTGAGCCAATACATATTTTTCCTGTGGGGCCCTATTAAGAAACCAAACAGCTCGATATAAAATGGAGTACCGTCTGCAAAGCATGTATAATCATATGGTAGGGCGAACCGCGTCAGTTGTCTCTCCCTTCTATTCCTTGCTCCCTGGTTAGGCTTTTACATTCACCAAAATCCTTTTTCTTTCAAAAAATATCTTCTTAATTAATTCAGTTGATTTTTAATTAGTTAAGTTGATTCTTAATTAGTTAAGTTGATCTTAATTAGTTCAGTGGATTCTTAATTAGTTCAGTTTATTTTTGATTAGTTCAGTTTATTCTTAATTAGTTCAGTTTATTCTTAATTAGCTCAGTTTGTTCTTAATTAGTTCAGTGCACTCTTAATTAGTTCAGTTGATTCTTAATTAGTTCAGTAGATTCTTAATTAGTTCAGTTGATTCTTAATTAGTTCAGTTTATTCTTAATTAGTTCAGTTTGTTCTTAATTAGTTCAGTTTATTCTTAATTAGCTCAGTTTGTTCTTAATTATTAAACGAAAATTGTATTTTATGTAAATTTATGTGGATTTTGTAACTTAAAATATAAAGATTAAATCTGAGAATTTATTTGTGCAGTCAAAGAGAGTGTTTTTTGAAACATCAGTAGATCAAATGTTTAGGAAGAATTTAAATGGACTGTGAGCGTAATTCAAGAGACCCTCCACGCAAAGATTGTAATACACACATGTCTGATTGAATAATTATATATAAAGATAAACAACAATTCAAAACTAATTTTTTTCAATGTAGTAGTTATCAGTTTTTTTTCTTATAAATCTAGTGAAACAAAAATATTTTCCATATTTACTGTTAGATGAAGGTTTCACTGTGAATCAGGCATCGGCATCTTTGCAGAGAGGGTCATTTTACTTACGCCTTTCTGTCCCTGTAAGAAGAGTGCTTAAAAAATCTCGCTCACAATTTAGTAGAATTATACTTATTGAGATGACATTTTTCTTTTTGATGCCATTTTTCTTGAAGTAAAAATAATGTATGGCTAATGGCTATTTGTAATAGCTCAAAGGACAAGAAAAAATATTGCAAAACTGCAGACAAATATCTATCTAAATTCCCTTTGACAAAAAGAAGCATATTGCATAAATCTTGCAGGGAAGTTTTGCATTTTTTGCTTTGTGATTGGATTTGAAAAAATAATATTTTGATATTTTTAAATCTGATTTTTTTTCTTTACTGGTTCATCAACCTAGCTCGATATCTGAGTAACAATGAGGGAGATATCATCATTTTCTAAATCCATGACAAGGAGGGGGGGAACAGAGAAAATCTGAAATGGAAACACATTTTCCTGATTTAAAATGCGTTCCCAACTTAGAACGCGTTCTTGAAAATAAGAACGCGTTAACGATTTTAACCGTTCTTTTCATGCAATTCCCGTTCAGTTCCGTTCCGTTCTTTTACTAATCGTTCCAATATTTTTAAGAACGCGTTCTAATTGTGTTCGTTTTTTTCGGAACGATGGGATCGTTCTTGATCGTTCCGTTCGTTCTCGGGAAAGAACGATCGTTCCACCGTTAACGCGCCCAGCCCTAGATGTACCGCATATAATTTGTGAACATTTACATGAATTGTACACTTTGAACTCCCTTTCAGACTGAAAGGGGCTGACAAAATTCATATCGATGGATTGTTTAAATTCCACTCTAATATATTCTATTCATAGAGAATAGAATATATAGAGAGGAATTTACTGGAAAAAAGTGTAAAACGGCCATTTTGTTGTACTGTTTCCATACTGCAGGTGTACTTCACATATTTATGCTATATAACCTGTTGGGCCCTGGAATATCATTTTATAGAAAATCTAAAATTATTGTTAAAAGATAACCAAATTATGAAATAAGCTGGTTTCATAATTGACCAATGATCATTTCACATAGACTCTATGCCTTCCA